GACTATGACGTCTGATAAAACTATACAGATGTTTAAGACTATGTCGTCTGGTAAAACTATACAGATGTTTAAGACTATGATGTTTGTTAAAACTATACAGATGTTAAAGAATAAGATGTATGTGGTAAAATTAAAGATATTTAAGATTTCTGCGATAAAACTATATAGATGTTTAAGACTAAGATGTCTGTAGTAAAACTATATAGATGTTTAAGACTAAGATGTCTGTAGTAAAATCTCTGTAGACTTTCTGTTTGGTAAGAATATTGAGATGTGTGAAATATATCATAAACACAATACAACTGTGTAGCCTAAAAGATTGAGATAATTGCAGATTATCTGGGCGTAAGATTCCTTTATTGATGTTCGACTTGTAACGTTATTGTTTCTGTACTTCACAATTTCAAGATTTTACTGAAAGCTTGAAACAAATTGAATTCATTATGTATCTTTTTCCATCAAAGTCATTAGACGAACAATGGTTTATTCTAGGAACTTTATTTTTCAATGTTTTCAGCAAAAAATTGAACACTTTGAAAATAACAGTAGTTATCTATATGTTTGTATGTTGTTGGGATGATTAATAATGGTTATTGTGTAGGGTTAAACACTTTTTGTCTAGAATAGTTTTACTAACATATTTCTATCTTATGTTGATTTATAGATCTAAGAGCAAAGCGATTAAGTTAAAACAATATAGGTGATAATGATAGGCAATCTGTCTCGTAGATATATATTATTCACCCATCGTTATTATGCAGACATTTGGGAAAGGATGTGTATAAAGAATATACATATATCAGAACTATTGTCTTCTGTGACGTCCAAACAAAGGGATGTGATAGCTATTACTAAACACACAATGTTGCCTTGTTTTACCAACGAACTTGTACACAAAGTGGTTCAAATTAATAAATATGAATGTAATGATATGATGAGTTACTTTTATGTTCCAAATTTTTATGAAATATTATACAACTTCTTTCTCTATTAAGTATCAGTATTTAAAATTTACCATACAAATTAATAGCATTCCTTAAATCAATGATGGACATGTCTAATGCATTATACATATTTATTTACAGGTGTTTTTTTCCCCACATCTCCCTTCCTTGTTTGGATTTCCAAATTCTTATCTCCAGCATTGCTGACAGTCAAGGCAGGACGAAACAGCAATAGGATGCAGTATTATATTTGTTATGATGTTCTCTTCCACTCAATACTTAAAGGTTGTACAGACACACAGGTGAATATCTGTTCGCCTTTAAATACAAATTTAGATATCAAAATGCAGAGCCAAGTAATGAATTAAACTGCATCATACAGCTGTTTTGTCTAGAATTCGCCAGTGATGCTAAGGATCTAAAATTTAAACCTAGGAGGCATCAGTGGAAAAATGTGAAGTGATCAAAACAAAAGTTAAAATCTAGAAGGGGATATACACTACCCCATTAAACCCATACTATAGTAGATGAACATGCAAAGAGAGTTTTCCTATTATTATGATCCACATAGGTTTGGGAAAAGAATATACCTACCATCGCCACAACCATCTAATGAACACATGGTTAGGGCAATTGAGGTATTTCCAATTAATAATCGGGCTTTTCTGCTGTGTATTTGTTATATCCTTAGGCCATCAATAATATGAGTGTATAACTGCAGAAAGAATATTGCACTTTGGAATCTGCTGATCAAATTCTTTTTCATCCTTTAGTAGAAGACATATGTATCCAATGAAAATGGATACAACAGGCATGTTCTTACAGTATTTGATGAGAATCAGCAGGTGCTCCACCGAGGAGGAGGGGATACAACAGGCTTCTTCTAATAGTGTTTGATGAGAATCAACAGGCACCCCACTGAGGAGGAGGGGATACAACAGGCCTGTTCTAATAGTGTTTGATGAGAATCAGCAGGCACCCCACCGAGGAGGAGGGGATACAACAGGTCTGTTCTAATAGTGTTTGATGAGAATCAGTAGGTGCGCCACCAAGGAGGAGGGTAATACAACAGGCTTGTTCTAGTAGTATTTGATGAGAATCAGTAAGTACCCCTCCAAGGAGGAGGGTTATACAACAGGTTTGTTCTAATAGTGTTTGATGGGAATCAACAGGTGCCCCACCAAGGAGGAGGGGATACAACAGGCTTGTTCTAATAGTGTTTGATGAGAATCAGTAGGTGCCCCACCAAGGAGGAGGGGATACAACAGGCTTGTTCTAATAGTGTTTGATGAGAATCAGTAGGTGCCCCACCAAGGAGGAGGGGATACAACAGGCTTGTTCTAATAGTGTTTGATGAGAATCAGCAGGCACCCCACCGAGGAGGAGGGGATACAACAGGCTTGTTCTAATAGTGTTTGATGAGAATCAGTAGGTGCCCCACCAAGGAGGAGGGGATACAACAGGTTTGTTCTAATAGTGTTTGATGGGAATCAGCAGGCACCCCACTGAGGAGGAGGGGATACAACAGGCCTGTTCTAATAGTGTTTGATGGGAATCAGCAGGCACCCCACTGAGGAGGAGGGGATACAACAGGCCTGTTCTAATAGTGTTTGATGAGAATCAGTAGGTGTGCCACCAAGGAGGAGGGGATACAACAGGCTTCTTCTAATAGTGTTTGATGAGAATCAACAGGCACCCCACTGAGGAGGAGGGGATACAACAGGCTTGTTCTAATAGTGTTTGATGAGAATCAGTAGGTACCCCTCCAAAGAGGAGGGTAATACAACAGGCTTGTTCTAATAGTGTTTGATGAGAATCAGCAGGCACCCCACTGAGGAGGAGGGGATACAACAGGCTTGTTCTAATAGTGTTTGATGAGAATCAGCAGGTGCCCCAACAAGGAGGAGGGGATACAACAGGCCTGTTCTAATAGTGTTTGATGAGAATCAACAGGCACCCCACTGAGGAGGAGGGGATACAACAGGCCTGTTCTAATAGTGTTTGATGAGAATCAACAGGCACATCACTGAGGAGGAGGGGATACAACAGGCTTGTTCTAATAGTGTTTGATGAGAATCAGTAGGTGTGCCACCAAGGAGGAGGGGATACAACAGGCTTGTTCTAATAGTGTTTGATGAGAATCAGCAGGTGCCCCACCAAGGAGGAGGGGATACAACAGGCTTGTTCTAATAGTGTTTGATGAGAATCAGCAGGCGCCCCACCGAGGAGGAGGGGATACAGCAGGCTTGTTCTAATAGTGTTTGATGGGAATCAGCAGGCGCCCCACCAAGGAGGAGGGGATACAGCAGGCTTGTTCTAATAGTGTTTGATGAGAATCAGTAGGTACCCCTCCAAGGAGGAGGGGATACAACAGGCTTGTTCTAATAGTGTTTGATGAGAATCAGCAGGCACCCCACCGAGGAGGAGGGGATACAACAGGCTTGTTCTAATAGTGTTTGATGAGAATCAGCAGGTGCCCCACCAAGGAGGAGGGGATACAACAGGCTTGTTCTAATAGTGTTTGATGAGAATCAGCAGGTGCCCCACCAAGGAGGAGGGGATACAACAGACTTGTTCTAATAGTGTTTGATGGGAATCAGCAGGCACCCCACTGAGGAGGAGGGGATACAACAGGCCTGTTCTAATAGTGTTTGATGGGAATCAGCAGGCACCCCACTGAGGAGGAGGGGATACAACAGACTTGTTCTAATAGTGTTTGATGAGAATCAGCAGGCACCCCACTGAGGAGGAGGGGATACAACAGGCCTGTTCTAATAGTGTTTGATGGGAATCAGCAGGCACCCCACTGAGGAGGAGGGGATACAACAGTCCTGTTCTAACAGTGTTTGATGAGAATCAGTAGGTGCCCCACCAAGGAGGAGGGGATACAACAGGCCTGTTCTAATAGTGTTTGATGAGAATCAGTAGGTGCGCCACCAAGGAGGAGGGGATACAACAGGCTTGTTCTAATAGTGTTTGATGAGAATCAGTAGGTACCCCTCCGTGGAGTAGGGGATACAACAGGCCTGTTCTAATAGTGTTTGATGAGAATCAGCAGGCACCCCACTGAGGAGGAGGGGATACAACAGGCTTGTTCTAATAGTGTTTGATGAGAATCAGTAGGTACCCCTCCAAAGAGGAGGGTAATACAACAGGCTTGTTCTAATAGTGTTTGATGAGAATCAGCAGGTACCCCACTGAGGAGGAGGGGATACAACAGGCTTGTTCTAATAGTGTTTGATGAGAATCAGCAGGTGCCCCACCAAGGAGGAGGGGATACAACAGGCCTGTTCTAATAGTGTTTGATGAGAATCAACAGGCACCCCACTGAGGAGGAGGGGATACAACAGGCTTGTTCTAATAGTGTTTGATGAGAATCAGTAGGTACCCTTCCAAGGAGGAGGGGATACAACAGGCTTGTTCTAATAGTGTTTGATGAGAATCAGCAGGCACCCCACTGAGGAGGAGGGGATACAACAGGCTTGTTCTGATAGTGTTTGATGAGAATCAGCAGGTGCCCCACCAAGGAGGAGGGGATACAACAGGCTTGTTCTAATAGTGTTTGATGAGAATCAGCAGGCGCCCCACCGAGGAGGAGGGGATACAGCAGGCTTGTTCTAATAGTGTTTGATGGGAATCAGCAGGCGCCCCACCAAGGAGGAGGGGTTACAGCAGGCTTGTTCTAATAGTGTTTGATGAGAATCAGCAGATGCCACACCAAGGAGGAGGGGATTAAAACTTAAAATATATGTTGTACTGTATTATTTATCAAATTACATGTTGCAAGCGATCCGTACAAGGAACTGAGCGGGTACACATGATTTCTTGTAAGACATATAACGCTAGAACAGGAAATGCACACATGAAAAGCCCTTGACAATTTCGAAATAAATTGAGCTATATAGAAAGTTTATCTGAACAAAAAGAATTAAAAAAAAGCGGTAAGGTAATTTTCCGTCAAATGTTATAACCTAACATTGGATTACTCAATAGATGCTGTCATTTGATTCCTTGATGCTTTTTTCAGAAAGCAACGGGATAGTTTTTGATTATGTCTTAAATTACCATCGAGCATGAACGTTTGACAGGAAAGTCTGGCATAGCAATATCCCGACTACTTCTTAAAGCCATAGTCACCTTGACCTTGCTTGGCCATTGACAACCAAGTACAGGCCAAAGTTCAAGACAGCGGTCAACCTTGTCGAATGAGAAGACTTTGCTTTGTGTAAGGCAATCGTACACCGTTAACATTTCCAGTTCCGTGTCTAGTAGGAATCCGTACCCTAAACATAGGTTAGTTCCTGCAGTGCTGGACATTAGTTTCGTGTGGGAATAGTTGCATCCTCTGTGACGAAGGAACCGGCAAACCATGTCGTGGCGTTCACAGTGCTGACCACAAAGTGACCATGCATGATCTTGCTCATACAGGTAGTAACCCTGGTCAATTTCCTCCAATGTACAAAGACCTACCTCAAACACCAAATTGGAGTTATCCAAATCCTTCAGGACATCGGTGTTGATAATGACCTCGAAATAGAACCTCCCCGGCTGTTTAAGCGACCGATCTCCTACGACACCTCTGTAAGTACGAAGCTGCCTCCTTGAATACGACGATTGTCTGGGCTTCTTCTTACAGGTAGGTTTGCTGTGAAGTTTTCGACCACAGTCACTCACAGCGCGGTATTTGTGGACAGTATCTCTATCCAGTATAATCTGTGGATCTGTAAAAAAGACAAAGTCTTACCAAGGGACCATAATATGGACAAGTTCAGTTTATCTCCTTAAAGCTGACGTTCTCTAAAGAAGTGATCAAAATTTTCTTAGTATTCAACGAAAGTTTAAGTCTGGACTTGACATTGACATGAAGCAGAAGAAGTAATTCTACTCTGGGGCACAGTTTGGGAAATTCAGAAAAAATGTTAAGATTAACTTACATAAAACCTCCGAGTGCTCCGCAGCCACCTCTGTCAAATATAGAAACAGTTATTAGAATAATAATTACATTTCCTTTTATATAAAGGCTTAACGCAACAGTTTGTCCTTAATTGTTACGGTGTGACATAGTCACGTTCTATGTTAGTGATTGAAGACAGACTCACAATGATAATTTCATGGACTTTGGATTAAAAACATTCATTAAAGGACGTTGCCTTTTCTAACTTATTAGGCTTCGGATGGACGTATAGTTGGTAGGAAGGTGTTGCATTGAAATAATACTGTACATACAAAATATGCTTCTCAATAATGATATATCGTTGTTTTCCGGGTTTATATGTAGAATTATGAACATTTTGAGAGAAAATAAAATCACAAAGTGTAACATTTTATATCCAAATGTATTCCGTCCTACATATCTATTAGTTTACTTACTGATTGAGGATGGTCTTGATGTTGTAGTGAGATCGGTGTGGTTACGGGAAAATGTCATATTCTTGGCGCATGTTTCTGTAGAAACTGTTCCTAACGTGGACACCATAGCTGTAAACTGTGTCAGAAAATGACGCGTGTCGAAGACTGGGATGGTTATCTTCACTGACTTGTTAAGCTTATGTCGAGCCAACAATCGTAGATGTCGGTACAAAACATTGTACAGAATCAGAAATTCGGATGGAGCAGAATATGTAGAAATAGCTTGCGAAAAATTTGATGCATTTTCAACCCTGTCAATGAAGTTTCCCATCTTTTCTGATTGGCTCACTAAAGCAGCTTTTTGCTGTTCACAAAGTTTTGAAATGTCTGCTTTTATATCGTTTTTCCGTTTTTCTAGCGCTTTTTGACATTCAGAAAATTTTGCCTCCACAACTTTTTCCAGTTCGAATTCCCGAATATCTATATTGAGTACTTCTTGCTTCAGTTGATCAGTCATTGTCTTTGTTAAAGTGACCACGTCTTCCAGGTGGCTCAGTAGCCTTGTCATTTCTATCATTTTCAGTTGCTGTACTTCATTAATATTTTGTATCACGTGGCCTTCAGATGGACTGTGATCTCGCAATTTGCACACACTACACAGTAACATCCTACAGACCTCCTTTGAACAGTAGTATGTCAATGGTTCTGCCTCATGGCCCGACTTTGTACATTTCAGACGACGTTGAAAGACCTCTGGACGAGCGGAAGTTCTCAGATTTTCGATAGAGAAAACAGCATGAGATCCTGACGCCATACTTTTTTGATGTATATATTTACATTCCTGACATAAATATATATTACAGTCTTTACAGAAATATGATGCTATGTTATCGTTTGGACAGTCCTTACATATCAAGCATGAGCTATCGGTTGTTAATTTGAGAAACTCCCTAAGGTTTCGTCTTGTTGAATCTGTAGGGAATCCTTGAATACCAGTGGTTGGCAGTCGACTTTTCGCTTTACATTTAGGACACACAATGACATTACCTGCAGACAATTTACGGAGACAAACTTGACAATATGTATGTAGACATGGCAACACTCTTGGAATATGGAATTCGTCATTGTAATCCACATTACAATTGTTGCAGATGAGGAATTCCTGTTGGACGTCGTCTACTTTGATCATAATTGGATCGTCAATATGTTGGTCTCTATGATAAAGAGAGAGCTTTAAGTTTAACACAGCATTGATAGTATTTCTGATACTGATAATACAAAACGACTATATGATTACGGAAAAGCCCGGTTATATTTTATCATTTTAATGTTTTTCGCATGCCGTATTTCAAATAAATGCTCGGAAAATCTGCAATTTCAAACTATGTTTATTTGTTTGTTTGTTTTTTTTTTGTTTCACAAACTCTATACATTATTATCCCAACTTACTACTTGAGCAGGATGGTTCAAGGAGATTGAGTTAGTCCATGATAAGGACTAAAAATTTAGTTAGTCTATGATAAGGACTAAAGATGGAGAGAGTCTATGATATGGACTAAATACATCAGCCTGATTAAAAATTTCGAAATAATCTAGGATATAAAAGCTTACCTTAGAGTTATATATTACTGTCGTCTTTCAGCAGGTATTGGCCATATAAGTGAAGAAATCACTTCTCACGGCCTACTCCAGACCAATACAAAGTAGACCACTATATCATACCACGGCTGGTATTTTGATTGATTGGAAATAATAGACTGAGAAGCGTCTTTCGTACTGAGACGTTTCAATATTCAGATGTTCACTTGCCATGATTCAGCTGTTCAAATGAAATTATACATCTTTACATATTTAAATAAAGAGCTGAATAAAGCTGTTTAAATGATTGTATAGACCATGTCGACACTGAAGCATTGTCTGGCGCTTATCGGAGGTATGAAACTGGTGTTAAATATCTCTTATTCTTTACACCCTTCAATTGAATTCCGAAATGTAAAACCATTTTGCTTTCCGATATATGCACCAATATCATGTCGAATTTCCATTTCAATATTACTTGAATGTGCTATTATCAAAATTCAGTAAACTATTTATACAGGCAGTTATGAGCCTATCTTTGCTGTCAGTAATAAACTTATGGTTAGTTATTTCCGTAACTGGTTAGCTCGATAACCTTCATTTCATTAAATATTTATCATGACGAATATGAAGTATTGTCGAGTTTGGAAGATCACCTCGAGAAATTATTTAATTAAAAATAGGACGTATAATAAGGGCTCCAACCATGTAGACCCCGAGCTCTTTATTTGGGACTCGGATTAAAACCATTTTCACTTTCTAGATCTTTAATTTGTCCCTTTGTGGTCAATCCTTGTGTCAGTACCAAATCTAATATAAGCTTTGCCGAAAATTACTGTATAAAACTTGAGAGGTCCTAGCTATGTTTTAGAATTAGAAATGAGGTTGTGAGAGAAGAAAAAGATGACATTTCAAAACCATCAGTTTTCCCGCCATTGATATTACAATGTGCTATATCAATCTTTGAGTGTTATTAGCTCGCCTGGTACCTCTTATGGCATGGCGCGAAAAAACTGAACGCATTTTGATAATTTTAGTAAGAAGCGTTCTTATATGTAGGGGATCCGGAAAAGAAACCGATTTTGCATACAAGGTGGGTTTGGAACCTACATGTAGGTGTCGAAGCGTGGGTCCAATAGGGAACACAATAAATGGCGGGTCTACCGTATTGGGCAAGATGAATATGGCTATACAATGGAAATCGTAGAAAAAAGCTTTTCTTTATAATCTGATGCAGACACATCCTAGTGTGACATCCTTCCTGGGGACATATTTTAACCATATTTAGTCTCGATCATCCTTTAGTAAAAGGGAATCAATTTTGTGGATTTGACTTTCTGGCCCCAGTTGCTCAAATAAAGGTAAGAGTTGACCAATGGTCAGTGAAACAAAAACATACAATCTTTTAAAATTCCCGTTCTTTATTTTGTGCAGATGAGCGATACAGGCCCTATGGGCCTCTTGTTGTTGTTGTTGTTGTTTTTTCTTTAATTTTTGGCACCTTTGCAGTACATGATTCTTGTATACAGATACATGTGTAACTCGGTCAACTGTCCTTTGTATTACAGATGACTTGTCTTTTTCAGTCTATTTGGGATCGGTTGGGAACTAGCTGCTTGGTAATTCGACACTTTAATATCAATTAATAGTTAGGAAACTTACCTATATTGATAATGTACTACTTATGTATAATGCTATCGACTCGTGCAACGTACAGAAATATTCTAAGTTATCATAATAAACCTGCATAAATCAAATTTCAAAACTTATGTCCTTTAAATCTTAATTGTCAGGTAAAAAAAACCAACAAAACTCAACAGAAAAAATTTTGAATTCAAAATAGTCCAAGAATTATTTTGTAATTGAATTCCAGCTGATTAAGTTTCCTCGTGATGTCATGATCAATTCTATGTTTGCTTTGTATCTGTACGTACCATTATAATGTAAAGTATATTATGGCCTATGGTATTCCAATATCATAATTTTAATTTAAAGGCACGATATTGGGAACAGGGAATAATGCGCTCGCCGTGTCTGTTAAGATGATATATTGAATCTTATTTATCCAGTCTACCAGCCTACTATTCCGTGTACTGAGACATACAGGTAAATCACTTATAGACAGTGCCAAGTCTTGTCAGATTTAATTTATCCCATTTTCTTTAAAATACATTGTATCATGGTTGAAATGAGGAAGATGAATTTATGCATTTCAATAGTTTTAATGTAATTTTATGAACATTCAAAATGTGTATTTTTTTTCTAAATATTACATGTGACACTTCGACCCGTGGGACGTCATATTGTGTTATGCCTATATGTAGCCCCGTCCGTCAAGGTACATATTTATTCATTAAACAGGTTTTACATCCACTATGTTATTGCGGCCTTGGGCCTTTCAGCAGACGAGAAAACATGTAAGATAAGACTTATTTATGGGCCTATTGAGAGACGAGGCTATTCAAGACTGTTAAAGATTATGAAAAGACGACGACATATTTTATCCATGTCGAGAATCAAGGGTAATATTATTAATGTGTGCACACTACATAATGTTTAATAACTTGATTACCTACAACACAATCATGTAGCCACATGCGTCACTCACTGTCATATAGAAATTATATACTGACAAGAAGCAGACATGCAATCCTCGGTAGTATAGTGGTAAGTATCCCCGCCTGTCACGCGGGAGACCGGGGTTCAATTCCCCGCCGGGGAGGTTGCACTTTTCTTCTTGCCTTATATTTTTTCATGTGATATGATAAATAGGAAATAGAATAATGATTACAAATAGAAAGAATTTTTGTTTAATAATAATAAACCACCCTAAAAAAAAACCCAACTAAAAACGTAATACATGTCAAACACTAATTTTAATCCAGAAAGTTCTTCCATTAAACGCTAACAACAACTATTCAGTTGTTCTGTGTGGGCTTGCTGTTTCATTTGTTAAACCCTTAACCAATAGAGTAAGTCTATATGGGGACGAATGCTAAATCAGACCACATTGTAATGGTGTTAACAGTTTAAGCTCTCTATTGACCTGTTAGAAATGACTTCCCTCTCCCCAGTTTGACAAGTTTCCACATAAGTCACGTCTTACTATCTAAAATTCAATCAATTTCGAGTGCCTACTTTAAGTCCTCTTCTTCCAGATTATTAATCAGCCTGTCGGAGAAAATCGATCCCACAGAAGAAGAAAAAGAAGAAGAAGAAGATGAAGAAGAAGAAAAAAATCAAACACACTCATACACACCAACAATTCCATGCCAAGAGCTGGAATCGGAGGTTTTATTTGTGAAATACTGTAATAGTGCAGGTATAATATATACTGATAAGGAAGGAAACATTGTTGGTTTTTTATTACTGAAACTGTTCCTGTGTTTTGATTTCCGGTATTTTAGTACCAAGTGTTTCACATACAAAACATTTATTTCCTGTTTTATCCCTGGGTCTAGTTTTAAGATAAGTATGTACGTATGAAGCCTGCTTATGAAGTATTTTTTAAATTTTCTCTCATGACGGAGTTTGTTTTACACAAACCAACTACATTATGTAATATATGTGTTCATATTTCAGTAATGAGTAATATATCAATGATTTAAAGATAAATGCGATCCAATTTACTTCACCACAGTTCATCAAAATTTGTTCGTTTCATGACATATCTACATGCCGTTTCAAAATATACACACTTCCCTGGCTTTATCAGTAAATAATAAATTAATGAATAAATAAATAAATAAAAAAAAAAAAATAGATAAATGAATTTTGTATTCATAGTAACGGTATATATATATACTTCATCAACCTGCATCTCTCTAACTCTTGTGTTGTGAGGTTGTCTGTCAGTTGACGACATCTTGCATAAACGTCATATACTGGGGACAAGTCCCAGAATATCGATTCAACTGTGACATGTAAACACCATCAAGAAAGGGACAACTTACAATATCATAGAGCTTACAGTAAATGTGTCCCTCTTGTTTCGTTGTAGGAAAAGATGAAATAAACTGATTTAGGAGAGTGTGTTGTGTGATTAATTCCAAGCTCTCCTGAGTTAAAGTATTGAATCATGAAGATGTTTCATTCCATTAAACTCCGGGTGAAGAATGTTTCGGAATGACAGAAGAGAACAAAACCAGTACACACACCGCCACCACTGACGTAGCACCCATACAATGAAACGTCACGTGATAGGTACACGTTGCATCACGTAGATACCCTGTAAGAAAAGCCATTGCCTTATTCAGACATAATGATATAGTGGAGGGTCAAAATACCCATCTGTTGTATTAATAAGATTTACAATTGCACCAAGTGAAAATTTTGAAATGAAGAAAAGGTTCCGTTTGGTGGAGTTAATGTATATTTACACTAACGTTGCATACTCTCTAATTCAAGTTTGTCAAACCCAATGCATATTTTATCCACAATACGTGATTTGGTTTGTATTATCTACAATACGTATCAGGGTGATTTGGTTTGTATTATCTACAATACGTATTATATGACAAGGTTGCGGAATATTACAGGGATTTCACTTTATTTTGTACATACTGTATATTTTGATCACTTTATCAAATAAAAAACTAATAATAAACTGTTGACTTGACTCCACTTTGTACAAATGAAAATTATTATTGATATTTTTATCATTACCTTTCTTTATATCAATGTGTAAATGTTTTAATGTTATGGGCGCATTGTCAATGACGCCCAAGTGACACCACCTACTCCTTACGATATAATATAGCTAACCATGTGTATAAGGTATTTTGATGTTGTGATGTTGATATCAAATGTACATATGTAAGTATGAGGATTACTTTCCACAGCGCATCAAGCAATATGACATTACCCCGAAAAATAAAAATTTCGATGCAACTAGATGAATAAATGACAATAAAAGAGCAACCTTTATATGTTGGGATGTGTTAAAAATGTGGTTAAAAGGCATCAATCCGATGAAAAATATCGATAAAAAGTATAAAGGTGTGTTTTAACTGTCACTTGTTCATATAAAAAAGTTTCAAAGCTTTTTCATTCCACAAATACTTAATTCTATATACTAAAAATCAGCCTGCCAACTTACCTAGTAACGGAATCATTCCACCCAGTACTGCTCCCTTTATAAAAATGGCGATGGCAATGGCGGACGCGAAGTGTTCGTCACCAACAATCTCTTTTAACACTGGATTACTGATGGCGAATATAACACCAGACATAAATCCAAAACTGGCTGCAAATATCGCAAACATCAAAAACGAGTTGTAAAAGTACGCCAACTGTGGTAGTAATGCCGTAAAGACTTGTGAAACTAGAATGATATGATGTTTTCGTATCCCCCCGAGATCGGCCAGCCACCCACATAACACCCTTCCTAGAAAATCACATACAGAATGTATCGAAATAAGCATTGCTATTTTGGAACTCTCGATTCCATTTTCCTTGGCAAACGGAGGTAGATATAAAGTTATCGTCTCGTTACTGATAGTCCCTGTTGTGTAAAAACCAACAAAGATTAAAAACAATCGGTTTTTCAGGAGCATCCTTCCACTCTCTATGCAGTTTGTAAACGTTCGACATAACATTGAACATAAACTTGATGTTTCAACCGTCTTTGTTTCCGTTTTAGATAATGCCTGATTTGTAAATAGGTTTTCTTGTGAAATGGATATATTGGAAACACTTGTACATTCAAATGTGGGCAAAGATGAAAACTGTTGAAGTTTTAATTTAAATCTTTTACCATCAGTTGCTTCTTTCTGGTACTGGTCTTCGCTGATGTATTTTTGATGTTGAGAGTAAAGTAAATTTGGCATTGAACTTGCGTTCAGTGATCCATCACCATTTATAATCGTTTTCCCGTTTTGTGTTGTTTTCTTTGGTAATTCAGTTTCAGATGTAGAAATATGATGTTTCAACCGGATTTCATTTACTTTGCCAACCAATGAGTTCACTTCGTTTGTATGTTTTGGATTAGGGAATACAATGCCTTGTTTACTAGCCAGAAGCCCTTTCGTTTTTATTCTGTAAATACGGCGATAAAATTCAGGTGGTCGTTGCAGGATAGCAGCCGGAAGTGCGTTAAAGACAATGCCGGAAGTAAGTAAGAGAGCGCCATGAAGCGTGTATTCTCGAACGATATTTTGGATCAATGGTGGCATCACGAGTCCACCAAGGGATAATGCCGCCATCAACATTCCATTAGCCAATCCTATATGTTTCCTGAAGTATCTGCCGACCAGAACTATACCCGTAGGAACGATGAGTGCTATACTCAGACCTTAAACACAACAAAGTAGAATTAAGGGTTTATTCTAATAGTTACAAGGATGTCTCCAAACATCACAGCTTGTTGATAAATGTTTATCACTTTTAAAATCCGCTTATCACTCAACGGCTTAGTTAGATTGGTCGTTTTGTTATCAGTTTAAGCAATTTGAAATGTAATAATCAAGTAGGAATACTCCTTTTATTCTTAAAGAAGTTTTAGTGGACGTAAGCACTTGTATATCAGTCACTAGTAACGGGCGAGAGTTAAAGATATGTAGTTTTATTATCATATTTTTTTTCTATACAATGTCAAATGCCTTCATTTTACAGTAATTGAAAATATTATCGTTTTGAAAATTGAGTAGAATTTCTCTTTATACAAACATATAACAGAGTCTCACCATTTAGAAGGCTCTGGCAAAGAATAAGGAGATCCAGCCGTGTGGTCAAACTGCTGAGGGCGTACGCCAAGGAACTGAAGGTAATACCGATCAGCTGACAGGTGCGCACGCTCTGGTACCGTAACAGGATCATAAGTACGGGCACATCTGGTCGTGAAATAATCATATTTAATATGCTGAGTATATTTTGTTAAAACATTTTGCGCTTTAGGTCTTATATCGATTGATTTATTGAGTTGTAAAACAGGGAACTCATCTGATAGTGTCACTTCATAGAAGTGACATTCTGTAAAACAATGGCATCATATTCCTTCTGATTCATCTTGAACATTTCATTGAGTGTCTAGTGTTATACAGGTACATTAAGTATTTGTGCTACTATATGACAGTACCAACCTTCTACATTATTTGGTTATGTCTACTAGTCTAGGTAGACACAAACTAAGACAGAGAAAGTACACTGAGAAAAAAAGAAAAGATCCAAACTGCTACATTCGGAAAGTAGATAGATTAATTCTAGCACCTGTAATGCCTTCTTTATACACGAGAAAGATCTGTGGACATCAGAATTGGTCGCCTCTTGGGACAGAATACATGTGTATTTCTTTGGCTCCTGCAGGGTAGCAAATGATAAATGTGACGAATGTATATACATTAGTATCAAAGTTAGTTGTCTTTATCGATCATGCACTGTAGACAACCCACACTGCGATTTCGTCCTACTGCAGAGAAGGACAGAATGAATGAACAAACGTTAGCAGGCTTAGTGAAAGAGACATCAATTCGGATATATACATGGACACGACCGGTACTGTAATGAAACATTCAGCTACAGGGATATTGTTAATTAAACACGCAGTAGTAGGGATGAGTGCACACATTAAATGTGGGTATGTTAATTACAATAAGCGACAGAAAAGTATGAAAATAAATCATTGAGTGTATTTCAGTATCTTAACAGAAGACGAACACCAACAAAAACCAGGAAGACAAGACACATGTTATAAATTCAATGTTCCAGAGGAAATGCTTACTTGCTGTGCAGTATACGGTGAACTGAAGTCCAGATATGAGGGAGGTTGTCGAGACTGCACCGCCGTAAACATCCAGTATCTCGATGAAGAAGATCCCAAACGACTTCAATACTCCAGCGTATAACACATTGATAACTATGCTAGCTAAAATAGGAAAAGGTACATCACAGATACTACAGTCAACCTGTATAATCTTTTCTACCGAAATTAAGAGTTCTTTTTCTTTTAATAACGGTCACGTCAACAGTTTAAACTTTATCAATTTATTTTATAACAATGTTCGAGGGGTTTTATTGTAGGAGAAACCAGGAGTACCAATGGAACCTACATGGTCGGGCTGGCGACTCCATGCCTTTCCACGGCAATTCCGGGAATCGAACCCTGAACACTTAGGTGAAAGGCGAGTTCGTTACCACCGTGCCAACCGACCATCCTGAATATCACTTCATCATCAGTTTTGATGCAAACATGATATGTACTTCAGGCTCTAACAGAGGCACGGACACAACCAACAAAATGGCGATCACAAGATGTACCCAGATCACTTAAGTCAATGATCACGAAGAACCACCGCTATGTAACATTATAAACACTACAAAAGAGTTTGAAATATACTCATAGAGAATTCAAATTATAACGAAGAGGTACTTTATCTGTCACTCAGATTCAAGAACGTTACAAGAGTTTTGTTTTATTAGAAATACGAGTCATTCATTAAAAAGGTACAAAAATAGTGTTCACTGAAGGCGTTACGATTATATCAAGCGCCGTATCATTTAAATGTCAGGACATGAACACTGCATAATAATGTATTATTAACCGTTACAGACTTTCATAAAGCGTCTATAGCATTGCTACCTTCAAGTATATGTATGCACAATATATTGTATACAATATGTATTCATGGTCACTGTTTGGACTGACTTGGCATATATGAAGCAATTTGACAGGCTATATTTAGTAACCTAGTGCATTGGAATTATTAGCGATCGTACAACAGTCTGGATAATGTGTAAGTACATATGTACGCGTTAAAAACCTGCTTTTTGTCTTGTCAATAGTAATGATAACACAAGTTCTATATAGGATAGTGCAAGGTCCATATTGCGCTAGACTATCACATCTCATTGACAGTGTCAGCAGGACAAGGTCTGAACATTACGTAACACTGATGCATTTTAATGTGTTACGTCAGTAGTATCAATTAAAAAACTATAGAGGTTTTCTTATACCATAAATATCCGAAAAAAACTTATTGATAAAATATCATTTACTAAAATATTTTGAGCTTTGATATTAACAATTGTCGTTTGCAGTCTCGATTTAAAAAAGTTATCAATGTTTTTTCTTATTTATGTTGAATATGTTTTGTTAAAGTAACATAAATGTTTTCATCATATCAATTAGGTTACCACGGCAATGAACAAATAATAAAATTGTTCCATGTCTATTAATAAAAAAGGGCAGTGGTTTATCAAGCCGTTAACACACGTAGAATAATATACTATATTGTATAAGGTAAGGCAATTTATGTACCTACCGGCTAGAACAACCCAAGCCCAACCATGGTCGATTGGGACATCGCCACGTTCATCCACAGTGGGATTCGACTGATCAGCCAAGAAGCGGAACTCCTCCTCTGATTCTAGTGTCTCGGACATGAAGCCTCTCGCAAGGTATGCTCAAACTGTTTAGGACAGATTAACAGTTGTTATAAGTATGTAACTGAGAGAGAATCCAGGTCACGTGGCCAGAATCATAAATATATTAAGATTCAGGTCCCATTAAAATTGAAGTGACGTTTCCTATCAATACTAATCAAAGCGACATCTGCCAATGTTATGTATATCGAGATGATCCTCTGAAGCCTATCGCATCGGTTACATCTTCTTCTTGGTAAATACACTGATTGTTACAATAGAGATTGGTCACGTTGCTTCATAACATTGTTGATATGGACAGGTAATATATTCCACACCTGGTGCATCCAGGATACCAACATTAGATGAGATAGTATCTCAAAATATATAGTAGGTATAAACAAATCGATATAAACGTCCAACAAAAAAATCGCAAGGGAAAATCTCTGCTTTGCATATCAAAAAGAAATTGTTTTTTTTTTTGGTTATTGTTTTTTTATTTTGTTTTTTTATTATTTTATTTGTTGTTGTCCTTTGTTTACCTGCTTTTCCTCATTAACTTGATATATTTAATTCTAGAAACGTCTCTAGGTTTCCTTTAGAAAGATTGCTTTCACATTTCAATGACTCATATTGACGCGTAATGATCTGTCAGTTTAACGGATAATAAAAATAGCAATTGATAACACCATTACGCAATAATTGTTAATAACGAACAAGAGATCTTGAACAGATAATCGCATCCATTAAAACTTTATGTTCTTTGAAAATTCAATGCTTTCTCAGCTTTTCTCTTATTTCGTCTTTTTTTTGCTCTTAATAATATAAAACTTAAAATCTTCTAAAGAAATAGCGATAATCTTTAAATGCCAAATCCAAGATGTCAAATATAAAAGTGTTGTTAATGTAACATCGATATAAATTTATTCATCATATAATTTAAATTACCCTGACAATAGATAAATAAGAAAGACGTTTCCATGTTTTCTATGTATTTCCATGTATGTACTAAAAATTAAAAAAGCACAACTAAGGACCAAAGGGCATCTTCGTTCCATTGTAAAAAATCGAAGATGGCCACCAGTCGGCCATTTTGTTTTTTTGATTAGTCCAAAAACTCAAACAGAAATAACTAGAGACCAAAGGGAATTTGCAAATGAAGTTTCAGAAATATCCAATTCTATTAATGGTGGGCTCGAAATAAAACATTTTTCTTAACGCCTGTCAATGCCTTGAACGTGTTCCCATCATCTATGGCGGGAAGTACTTGACAGCATCCAAACATACCACACAAGACGTTGGTTTATTGAAAGAGTTTAATTTCTCATGAGTATGAAATGATGTGTACCATCACTGATCACACAAACACTGACAAACACAGAATTTAAGATAATGTTTCGTGTAATAATATGTTAACTAAACACGACAGTATTTCCAACATAACACTGAATATCTCGAAATAAATAAAATGCATCAGAAACAAACTTGCCAGCAGTTATACATTAGTGAAAATTAAACAAAAGGGCATTATTATAGAATAGAAGTTCTTATAACACAACCAGTAGAAGATTTGAGTGTGATGTTTCTTTGACTTAACGGTCACCATCATCGGATAAATGAACAGTCTGGAGCGTGCCAACTTAGTTATGCTTATTCGTTTTGAATGGGAGTTAGCTCCCTTATAAAATTTCAACTAGAACTTGCTGCACTGTAGACCAACAAGACTATGAACTTAAATTTCACTTTTATGAATTTATAAAAAAATAATGACAATGTAAATTGACAAATAAAATATAAACTATTAATCTCCACTTATTTCAACTGAAATGGCGCCCTCGTGATGCTTTACAGCAATTCTATCAAATAGTAGCAATAACAAGGACGCTATCAATGATGTTGCTCCCATGAAGTGGAAGGTCGCGTGGAATTCGTTTGTACTGTCTCGGAGATAACCTGGAATAAGATTAATAATACGTTAATATCAGCAAGGAAAACAACGAGAGATACCAGCACAGAGAAATAATCAAGGCAAGTTCTTTATAAACAGTATGGAAATTATCATCTATTATCTAAATGTGTCAAGCATGTTACAAACAGTATGGAAATTATCATCTATGATCTAATTGTGTCAAGCATGTTAGAAATAGTATGGAAATTATCATCTATTATCTGAATGTGTCATGGTAGGTACCAACGATAGGAAAAACATCATCTATTATTCAAATATGTCAATATTAGAACAAGTAATGTGGAAATTATTTCCTATTAATCAAAATGTCAAGATTGTTAAAAGCAGTATGGAAATTATCATCTATTATTCAAAATTGTCAATATTAGTACAAGCAGTGTGGAAAATATCATATATCATTTAAATGTGTCAAGATTGTTACAAGGAGTATGGAAACTATCATCTATTATCAAAATGTGTCAATATTAGTACGAGTAGTGTGGAAATTATCATCCAATACTCAAAAGTTTCAATATTAGTAGAAGTAACGTTTAAATCATCATGTATTATTCAAAAGTGTCAAGAATAGCGAATACAAGTCAATGAAATAGTAATGAATAAAAAAACGTAAAAAGTCGAAAAGGAGTTGCATTGAATACACACATTTAGTGTAGTATACATACACAACACACTCTTAATGAATTTTTAATACCAAATTAACATCACACGTGAAGTACCAACAACACCCTGTTAGAGTAGTATGTTATCACCTCTTATGCATGTTAAAGTATTGTAGCATCAAAAACGTTAAGAATAGAAGAGCATCGCAACAGAAATAGAAAACACAACAATCAGCTGCTTGGTACCTCACATTAGACTCGTCATATAATCTTGCAGTGTAATAAATAACGCCACGCTATCGTTGGTAAATTCGGTAAGTACAGAATGGAAATAAAAAACAAATGATTTACATAATGTATAAGTAACAAAATGGTTTTTATAGTGCGTAACTAACAAAACAACAAAACATGGATTATAACAAGATTTTGTCATTATATTCCCATAACTCATATAATGGCTAGCACTTGTACTGTAAATGATGTAATTTTTGAGGGATTCCAATTTTTACTATTTTCAAGAACGGTATAAAATCGCGGAAAAATAGATCCATTAAAAATTAAGGAAATGCAGTCGAGATAAATACTTCCCTCTTTCATAAGATATTTTGGTAAAGCCTCGAAAATTAGAGCCATTTGAAAATCAATGTTACAGTTAGATTTACTTACCAAGAAAAGGAATCAGTCCACCCACAAAGGATCCTTTTATCAGAATCATTACTGCCACGCTTGTTGGGAACATGTCTTGACCAACGGAAGAAGAGAGGATAGGTGGAAACAATGCAAATATGATACCCGCCGTAAGACCGTAGCCAGCTGAGAAAAGAACAAGAGACCAGAAGGTATGGAACAATGGCGTCAGCTGCATTATTAGACCTGCTATCACTTGCGAAATCATTACTATCTGTTGTCGTTTAATCCGGGGTAGATCTGCAATATAGCCACTTAAGACACGTCCTGAAACAGAGATGTATTTCTGTTAATGATGTCAGTCATCTTATTGTAACACGTGCTCAGCTGAAGGTTATGTAAAAAACCAATAACCTATAGCACGCGCAGAATGGGTCTGCACAGGGACATCTTCAACCTAGTACAACAGTTTGGCTGGTCAGCAGGGTGTTTGCGTAGTACTGATCAGTCAAGTTCGACCAACTACATATATTACCTGTACGTGAACAGATATTCTATAGTCTATAATATATAAATAATTTCTGAGTGGTTTCTCTTAATAGATCTTTGAACTGAAAACAATGCCCACCAGACAATCCAAACACTGAATACAATTAAGGTGAAACGATCAGTTGATTTATCATTATCACATAAGCTGTTTCTTTTCCTGTGTAAGTTTCAATAGCTAACTATTTGGGTAGATTAACTTACCAACAAAGTCACACATACTCTGTATGGATACCAGTGTCGCGATCTTGGAGCTCGATATTCCCCTGTCCTTAGCAAAAGATGGTGAAAAGAGATGACATGTTTCTGATCCAACACTTGCGAAACAATATATTGGAATAAGCAAAAGGAAAAGCTTATTTCTCCATAAAATCGGGCTGCACATTTGCCAAGATTTACATTTATTAAACAAACGTTTAATCAGAGACGAATCATGAACTGATTTTGAAGAATCATTGTCTTTTGACATCTTTCTTACAGTTTCCTGTGATAGATTTGTAAACTCTCCTGTACTTAGATATCCAAAAATGCATGGTTCTAAATACTCTGCATTGCCTTTTGTAAGAATACTATCGATTTGACTATCGCTTCCATTTTTACCGGAAGTGACTACTCCATTGGTTACGTGTCTAGATGAGGAAAGATTTGGAGCCGACGCACTCGCAAGGGTGGTGTCTGGATTATAACCAGACAACAGTGCCGACGATTGGTCCTTGTTTCGACAATCTTTAAATGCACAACTGTTCGTCAACATGTTCTCATGTTTACTATCAATCTTTACATGATTTCCTTCCAGTTTGTTCGTTGATCCCGAGTTTCGTTCTGTGTAAAACTCAAATGGTCGCAGCAAGCAGGCTGGGGGAAGACAATTGATTATAATCCCCGCTGTCAACAACAGGGCACCCTCTAATCTATACTCATCCAAAATATACCGCAATAGAGGAGGCAGGGTGACGCCCCCTAAAGCATAACCAGACATCAAGACACCGTTTGCTAATCCAAGACGCCCTCGAAAGTACTTTCCGATTAAGACGATAGCCGTGGGGTAAACCAGAGCCATGCCTAGTCCTGTAAAAATAAATTGATACATAATGACACAATATTAACAATACAATGCAAAGAAGTTCTGCATATTTTATAGCAGTTCCCTTTTTCATTGAACTAGCTGTACACGTGGTTTATAATCAATGTCTTCTAAGCTAAATTTCTTTCGTTCATATTTTGCCTTAGATTCGTCGATTTCAGGTATGGATAATATTTCTGTAAACATGTCAGTATTATCAATGTTGTTATCCTACAGGAAATGATTCATGATTTCCACCAATTCATAAATATCTTCAGCATGTTTTATTCTATAAGTACATTCTTTAAAAACAATTGTGAATTATAAGTGAAAATCATTTGACATCAATAAATTCAACAGTATATTAACTATAAATGGAGATGAAAAAAGCAACAAAATTTGTATGGCATGAGCCAAAACCGATACCTTTCCAAAAGGCAGTGATAAATTACCTCAGAATTATAAGCTGTTTAGAATTCAGAAATCATGGTAATTCTAGAAAATACTACATCTCGTTGAAAAAGACATGCGACCAATATACTTTCTTTGTAATTTCGGACAAACGCTTTCATGAACTTACTCTCACATGTTTGTTAAAGGAATCATCAATATTGTAAACTGGATTCCACATCATACATCAAATAGTGCCACGGTTCAGAACATGTACATTCTTTTGACACATTATCTGTTATATGAAAATTACGAAAATTATTTGATTATGGAGTTAGTGCATCTCCATGTCCAAATTAGGACTTTTTTTTACCACTTTGAATTATTTCAGTCGCCTGCTAGCATTCAAAGGCCTTAATCATGAATGACGAGTCCTAGAAGAAAGCACAGCTGTGTGATGCAGTTTGGTTCTACTGTATCTAACTCTTAATTTGTAGTAAACGGTGCTATTTACTTGCCTCGTGTACAAACAAAAATGGTTCAAGGGTTCCATATATTTATAAGTTTTATTTCATTTTCATTTCATTCGAACATATTTTACTGACATAAAATGTAATACAGATTGAGTCAATAGGATCGGAGCCCATGGAAGTTCTCTCCGTAAGTGATTGAAATTAAATTTATCAGATATGAAGCGGGTTTAACCAATAAATAATTGAACATCATTTAGTAACATTCTGTTTGTATTTCCGTTACAGTCAGGACATTGTAGAAAGATGTTTGTATCAATATGGTTATAGTATCTATAAATATTAACAGACGTAAACAGAAAGAGTCTATGATTATTATACATAAGACATTCAAGAAAGTAATGGGAAACAGTTTCATATCCAGAAGAGCAGGCACAGGATGGACTATTCGTTAAATGGTCGTTAGATAAATCAAAGTTTTAATTACTACAAGAATTTCTAAGTTAACAAAGAATAATCTTTTGACTGAGAAGTTTCTTTTAACAAGGTCTAAAAGTGGGTAAAAGCATGACAAATTAAGTTCGCGACAGGCTTGAAGAACAATAAGAAAGTTAATATACTTAATAGTGACTTTAGGTTTTCTTTTCCTTTCTCTTATGGCTGTAATCAAGTTGCCTGTGTGCTTATTTCTGACCATCTCCTAAGAATAAAATAGCGTGGAGGTAATAATTCCAGTAACAACCTGTAACTATATTGAACACACAACTGGTATTATATGATTGTCACATCTGAAAATGTGTATATTTTGTAGTTGGGGCTGATTTACATAACATGTGCTTAGGTGTAACAATTATGTCACATACCACTAAGAATACTCTGGGTAAGAATGAGCAGGTCCAGGCTGTGGACCAATGAGCTCAGTCCAAATCCAATAGCCGTTATCAGGATACCAGCCAGCTGACAGCAACGGATACTGGAACGCCGTGTCAATGACGTCATGACTGGAACAGCTGGAAAAACAGTGAAAATTTACTAAAATCAAATGCCATTAACGACGAAAAAGGAAAATTGCTATTAATAACAAAATAAAACGATTAACTTGTCGGCGAATAAAGTTGTTTTTACATGGATACAATGTATATCTCTCTTAATGGTTCGAATATAGATCTCAACCAATTCACAGTCATCAGCCATTAACAGGCCTAAAAATATATATGAGGAAATGACATTAAATTGTCATCTCATACTATTTGTTAAGGGTGTCGTGATGTCGAATCCCGGATTACGACCCCAAAATATTGTAGCAATGTACAACAAGGATTTTAATATTGAAATTCCCGGTATTTTTGTTTGGCTTTTTTTTGCTTTTTTGTTTTCCGGGTTTTTATTTTAAGATTAATGACCATTTTTGACTTTAAGGTAGGTTTTATTACTTTAGGCGCCTAGCGATAGAGATGAGTGTGTAATTTATTGAACCGCTTTATGTTACAAGATATTTGTATCGAAATATGATATTCTCCGGTGAGTTTTTGTATAGTCCTTCAAGAAAACAATGCTTTGATAGGCTCACCGTGCAGATAAACAGTCACGACAGAAAGAATAACGAGATGATACTCTCACTTTCACCGTGGACAATTCTATTTTAGTCAATTAAGGGAAAGTTCTCAGTCAATATTCTAAATATTTCAAAATTTCAATATCTCGATTAAATGCAATTTGAATTTTCTCAATTCAGGAAAGAAAACACCGAACCACTATCTAGGGAATTTAGTTTCACAAACTCGTGAAAGTCAAAGAATTAAACCTGACTTGATGAAGAACAGCTTAACTGTGTTGAGCTTTGTAGTAGAACTTATGGTCTCAATCACCCGTCTCCTTTAGGTATTGTGACTTCGTAAAAAACACAAATGCAACCAAATCTACATACTTGTGACACAGTAGACGGCGAACTGTAGAGATGATATTAATGATGTAGTAGATACATTGCTGCTGTAGACATCCAAGATTTCTACGTAGAATAGTCCAAAACTCTTGAAAATCCCAGCGTATAGCGTGGTGATGAGGGTACTGGCTAAAACACGTGTCACCAATATAATTCGTTATCACTTATTTCAAATTATGAAATAATACCAATCAACAATACAATAAAGTGTTTTGTTGCATCTTTCGTCAACAGACTTGCACCTTAGCCTTTTTATCTTGTAACTTTATTACTTCCATCAGTCTTAACCTAGTTGTCCAATTTTCCTTCACTATCATCTTTTCCGTTACCACATTGAACTGGATTGAGTACAATAAAGTTCGGCTATAAAATGTGATCTATTGAATAATGTTATATTAATTAAATATTCTTTTTGTGCTGAAAATATCAGTACTTCTTTTTGGACAAAACTTTTATCAATTAAAATACACATCTATAGTGTTTATAATGATACGGTTACAAGATAAGTCTAAGATTACATAATTAAATTGCGTCTTTAATACAAAAGAGTTAGATATAGTAGAGTCAACCAAAGAATTAAACTACATCATACAGCTGTTTTGTCCTCTTAGGACTCGTCAGTGATGCATCATACAACAGTTTCGTCCTCCTAGGACTCGTCAGTGATGTTACATTATACAACTGTTTCGTCCTCCTAGGACTCGTCAGTGATGTTACATCATACAACTGTTTCGTCCTTCTAGGACTCGTCAGTGATGTTACATCATACAACCGTTTCGTCCTTCTAAGACTCGGCAGTAGTGTTACATCATACAACTGTTGCGTCCTTCTAGGACTCGGCAGTGGTGTTACATCATACAACTGTTTCGTCCTTCTAGGACTCGGCAGTAGTTTTACATCATACAACTGTTGCGTCCTTCTAGGACTCGTCAGTGATGCTACATCATGCAACTGTTGCGTCCTTCTAGGACTCGTCAGTGATGCTTAGGGCCTAAATTTTTAAGGTAGGAGGCGACTGAAGAAATCCAAAGTGATTGGAAGAAAATGTCAACATCCAGATGGAATGTTGCACTAACTCCATAATTCAATAAATTTCCTAATTCTTATATATTCGATTTTAAAGCAATAATCAAGTACACGTGTGTAATCTGGACTGTGCCAATATTCGAATGAATTAAAATGGGGTATACAGGTAACGGCAAACCAAGGTATCAACGAAATGTATACCAGCAACACCAAAGTGATTTCGTTCGTTTAGTCGATGATACAATCAAAAGCAAAATAGTTAGCTAATTATCAAACGACTTTTGTGATGTATAAGTAGTATTTGTTATGATAAACGATAACCAGAGCCGAGTGAAAAAATTAAATTCCACATATGTAACCGGAACAATATCAAATGTTTGTATTTGACATAAAGTTAACCAGGGCCACATGGAAAGTTTGAATTGGACATTACGTTAACTGGTATCACGTGAAAAAATAATTGGACTAAAATATACGATTTATTTTATAATTCTTCTGAAGTGCGGTCGACCAAAATATCATTTCTTTTATTTAGATCAATATGATATATCTTGGTAACTAGATTTTGTAACTAGACTCTAGTAGACTTGCAATGTTATTGATTTAGAACCTTATGAATCTGTATTCTTGTTCAGTATATACATTGGCAATGCTATACGTTGATATTTGTTAGTATATCGCATACAGATTTTTTAGAGAGGTAAACCCTCACATTCATATAGATTTTTTAGAGAGCAAAACTCGAGCGTCAATACAGATTTGATATAAAATTACATACCAACTAGAATGACCCAAGCCCATCCTCGGTCGACCGGAAGTTCATACAGCATGTTGTCTTTAGCATCGCGTGCTTCAGGTAGTGAGCTCGTGTCAGAATTAGTGTCCGTCATAGTTTAGTATGTTACTGATAGGGAACTGCGGCACATCGTAGGAACAGCTGAAAAGGCGAAAACAAACCAATATTAACAGGTTCTTAACAATGAATATAAATGTTAAACATATTCATAAAGTTTCAATGAAACATTTTTCATCTTATTGTAAACACGCATATAGGAGGTAACAAACAAATTTCTTGATAAGAGAACACTTGTTGTCTCGACCGACTGTGACCTTTACTGGTGGCAAATTGGAGAACTGAACTTTTGAATGACGATAGTGCTATCCAACAGGGGGAATTATGGTTACCTTCAAAACTGTACAAACAGTAATCTAAATGAATTGTAACACTGATCTGCCTGCAATCGTTATAGGTTTGTACCAAAGACGCACAAGTAAATAGCACCATTCCAAACAAACTTAGGTAATGAATTAAACTGCATAATTCAGCTAGAACTAGCCAGTGATGTGAAGGTCCAAAATGTTGAAACCTGGGAGACTACCAAGGAAACATTAAAATGTCTACATCCAGATGAGGAAGAGCACTTGTTCCAAAATCAGACAACGGCCTATGAAAATAACATACGCTCAAGACAACAAGCATGTAATGTTTTAAAGTGTCACGACTAAAGTAACTTTGTAGTATACTTGCCAATGACGTAAACAAACCTTATCAGATTACAATAAGGTGAAGGTCAACTTAAATATATATCTCTGTTATCAGTGTCCACAGTTTATGTTTTGTACATTGCTGTCAAATTATTGATTGATGGAAGTTTACTGTTTTTGAGCTACCGGAATTTTATCACAAAGTCACTAATGATTCAGGCACCGCAAGCAGAAAAACATGAATAATTAAGGAAACATTTACATAAACTGTGTTTGAGGTGAGAGTTTGGTCCCGTGAGATTTGTCCCTAGGCCGAGACATACTGTCATTAAATCGGTACTTGGTGCTTGACGTTGAGTACTGTAGAGAGAGCACAAGGGATCTGGAACTGTAGAATGACCTCTTTCCTGGCTCTATTTAAGCGGGCAGTTTCTGTAATAACCTGAATATATTGACTGGAGGGAAAACATAAACCAATCAACGCTGATTTTAGTCATTTTAATCCAGATTTAAAATCATTTTTTGAACAACTGGTATTAGTTGGCGGAAGAGGGGTGATCAATCACATAAACAATTTCGTCTGTCATTGATATGAAATGTTGACACCATGTGCTACAGGATGTTCAAAGATTGCGACTGGAAGTAGAGCAAAAAGATCAGAATGTAATATACCAATTATAACGGTGGAACTTCGTCAATATTTTATCTGTAATGATGATGCAATGAAAAAAAAAAGATAATAAAACGGATTCAAATCAGAAAACATAAGTGCATGCAAAACTATACAATTAAAGGTGGTGTGACATAAAAACATGATGAATACTTGATCGATCCCCTTAAAATTTCATTAGAAATGAAGGTAATTCCCATTGACATTATATATCTCCTATGTCTTCAACAATATTATCATGTTGAGTTGCAAGGATAAATATATACCCTGCACCAAAAGAATTATTTCAAAATGGAATCTGGGTTCTTCTTATCCCAATATTATTGTCGAAGCTTTTCGTCTTAACATCCTTTTTCTTGTTTATTCCTTAGAAAATAAGGTTATTTGAGACAATAATACAGGCAATATGAAAACGAAGCACGTGTACATAGCGACTCTAAGGCTCTTTCAAAAGAATATACATACATGTATAGTGTTATCAATGTAAAATTTATCATGTCAAAAAATTTTTAAAAAAACCAAGATATTTCGTCAGGATCTGCTTTCGTGGACTTTCAAACCTTACTCTGTGGTTGGCACTGGAGTTGAATTACATTAACACTAAATATATCAATTATATCTCTTTATCATTTCGTCGACATGTAAATTCTTAGATCAACAACACCAACACAGTCCATTGGAAGTAAAAGCTGATTGGTCTGGGAGAGGCTTAAAGCACGTCACACAATAACATTGTCGTGCAATTAGATTACAACTGTCAATTAAATATAGAGTTGTAAAAACCACTTATGTACAGTCTAGTGCTCACGTTAAATACGGTAAGTGTTTTAAACATGTTTATCTACATAAACATACTACATACATATTGCAATACTAATATTTAAATATCCACCATCGGCTTTATTATATATACTTTTCATATATTGCTTAGAACATTAGTAATATTCAGGATAGTCTTTCCCTCATACATATTTACTGAAAAATAAATGCTTAGAGCAATGTTCTTTTGAAGGAAATGCTTTACAGAAATATTTTGAATGTTTTCAGAGATAACTATCAAGTTTGGTTTATCGTGTCATTAAAAAACTAAACTGATATCCTATAACCCATCGCATGCTAGTCTCCGGCTAAATATGATCATGGTTTTTTGCGAGGATGTAAATCAAGCAAAAAGATGCAGTCACTTTAAGTCATAGAAATACCTATTAAATATAGAAATTTGTTTATCTACTGCCCCCCATTGTCACACCTCTTATCAGTACTTATTCCTATTTGCTTATCTGTACAAAGTACTGTGCACTTTGATCTCTGTGTCAATGGCCCCTTGAGCACGTGTTCTAATCACTTTTTTGTAGGTTGAAATCTAATCTTCATTTCGTTATAAAGGTCAGATACATTGATTTAAATACACCAACGAATGACACCATTTCAACATAGTAGATAATATATATGTAATATATTTCAATAAATGAATGAACGTGTGCCAAAATAAAATGTCAACTCTTCTAATTATAAGCACTGCTATCTATTATTTTTGCCTGACTTTCAATCCCCCCCCACAAAAAAAAGGGAAAATTAAATAAAAATAAATATGACTCTCTTTGTTTCTTGGTTTCTGCTTATCAGCGTTTTTCTGTATAATCCGTTTTATTCGTGAAAACTTTTAACCCGTGCTAAATACACAAGGAGTCACAACTGAATACTAGAACTTCTGTGCTTTTTATTCTAATTCTAATGTTAAACTTTTCTGTTGCATATGTATAGGTGTTGTTTTCCCTTTATTTTGTGACACTTTACATAAATTAACTGTAATATATGTATCTTGTAAATCTGCCGAATGTTTTGGATAATGAATAAATATAAACCATAGACGTCCTGTTGTGACCTTTCCATTATATAAGTTGACTCATTTCACTATCGAATAGGCATTCTACTGCATGTCCGCTAAAAAAAAATCTTTGAAATTAAACAAGCATTGCTAACAGTGTCAGTCTCTAAAGTCATCTTTAGTAGTGGTTTGTGTTAGACGCAGAACAGCTGATTAAACAAACTTAGAAATGGTAACCGTGATAATTTAGTTATAATTTCTTGTTATATCCTGGTGAATCCTGCTGTAATTGTTTCCCGATTGAGATTTCCATAGTACTTTACAATGGTCCACCAGCATGTGTCAGCGCATTAATGTAATGGTCTCTAACTTCAGGACGTACGGGACTGTGTCAACATATGAATTTTAAGCACCTGAAAATGGGTGACAAAGCGACAAACTGTAACAGGAGCCCATTAAAAAAAAATAACATGAAACGTGTACATGTGTAAGCATTTTTTTTTTTTTTACAAAAACCACAGATTAGATCCTCAACATGTACTTTTGTTAGTACTTACAAGGACATTAAGTAAGGAAATCAAAACATAGGAGGGAATGAAAGTTTCAAACTCCCCATTTTCAATGAATTTCGTATATTGTAGTTTGGGATCATTTTAAACGCAATTATTCGGAATTTTGACGTTTTGAACAATGTAAAGAGACTTTAGTGAACCAGAAGAGATTGGGTATATACATAATTATAACTGTTACAAATCACATTCAATGAATGGGAATGGGAGAATGCCACAGAAAACTGTGTTTTGAGTGAACGATGAGGATGACGGAAGTGATATATATCATATCCAAGATATGTACATAAATAGACTGCCCATCGTTTTCACGGCTCAAAGGGATATCGCGGAAATAAAAAGAAAATGAAATTTAAAAAAATCAATTGACAAGTGCCAGTTATACATACAGTGACCTTGTTCTGTCGTTACCCAATGTAACACGTAGTGTAGCTATTTCTATGTCCACTTGAAGTAATCAGTTGTTAGGTTAATGTTGACTTTTAATGGCTAAACGTAATAAATCAAATTATGTACAAACTATGCAGATAATACAATGATAAAAAGGAAGTAATGTAAGGCCACCAGAGTATTAAAGATGTTAATTTTCCTTAATGAAGTCATTTAATTGAGGAGTTGCTACGCTCTCCTACTAGCAAATCAGACTCGAAATAAAAATAAAATAAAAAAAAAAAAAAACACACACACACACACAAGCAAAACGAAAACTAACGTATATTTCATCTGTTGATTAAATCGAAAGTATTAAGACACATCACCAGTAACTGAATTGAAATATGAAATGGCGACAGCATAAATACCGACAGAAAGATGTATATCGATTTCACATATACAGTGGTGAATATATTATATATATATATTTATTACCAGAGAATGCATATCAGATCATGTCAATCCCAAACGTAGTACAGATCAGCGACCGCTTCATTCGTACACATAACATATATAATAACGAAAGCTTGTCAGTTTATGTTGAACTGTCGTATAGAATTATTTGAATAATTTCAAATATACCCCCGATATTCTTTATACTTCCTGTTGTAATATCTAAAACACACATAAACCTCCATATCGTTGGTAAACATTGTGTTATTGAGACAGAAAGTGTGTGTAAAGAGATACCATCTGATCTTAAACACATGTATTGATTCCACCTACGAAACGCGCACCAACACACAATACCCACCGATGTAGCACACAGGATTACACTGCAGCCTCCTCATCGTCAAAGACGCAATGGCGATATGGTCAGCCTGCAAATACAACTCGACTGTTTGCTTGTAGATTTCCCCAGAGCAGATCCTAGGTGCGAAATCTCCTGTGTATCTGGTGTATTATATAACACAACAGGTTTTATCAGAATTAGTTTTGTTGTTAAATCGCCAACGTATGACACAAAGAATAACATCCCTAATTATGCATTAGTGGGGCAGCGTGTGTTTAATATTCATTAGATGCTTCACTACAGCGTCCTTGTAGAAGACTGACAAGGTGGGACAATATCAGCTCCTATATTTCATTGGAGAGCCACATGGTAAAGGATGCACCACATAAAATACAGACAAAACTACCATCACATCACAAACATAACATTTTAACTCCTATATATGTGTGTGTGTGTGTGTGGGTTTTTTTTTTTTTTTTTAAATATACTTCGCATACAATTTGCATGTCAAACACTAGTAAAGTGTGAGTGAACCATTTGGCTAAGTATATATACCGGCATACCATGTACATGTCTCTTAGGGGAAAATAAAGCTTTAATTCTTTAATTATGTAGTGCAATTGTTAAAAATGGAACTATCTGATGCATATTCATATGAATTGAATTATGCCTATTCATGTGTATTGGAGTATGCATTTTCATATCAGTCAGTTATACATTCTCAAATGAATTGAATTTTGCATATTCATATGTATTTTACTATGAATATTCATATGTATTGAATAACTCATAAGCATATGTATTTCATTGTAAAGTTCACATTATTGAATTATGCATAATCGTACGTATTGGATTATGAATATTCATATGTATTGGATTATGCATATGCATATGTATTGGATTATACATATTTATATCTATTTGATTATGCATATTCATATCTATTGGATTATGTATATTCATATTATTGGATTATGCATATTCATATCTATTGGATTATGTATATTCATATTATTGGATTAGCTCTATCACAGATAGTTAAAAAATATTCAATAAGATTAAAACATGCAACAAAAAGAGTTCTCGATAACTTTATAGACTACCGACAAATATTCACCAACAGCTGTCTAATATTGATATCATATTTATCACAACACTATAACAATGGTTTAACATGAATAGAGTAAATGCAAGTATTCTACACTACAAGCTGTGGTGTGTCATCCTTTCTTCTTTTGATCTGAGTGTGTGAAGGGCAACAGCTATAACTTTCCTTTACATTATATTGCAAATAAAACACAGAACATTATATTCAAATGACATGATTTTACATATAAGCTGCAAGACTGATTATAAAACAGAAGAATTGGAATATAAAATACAGTTTAAATTACGGAAAATGAAATCATTATGCTTATCTCGATACAAAGCTATCCCTGTAGATTTTGTTGTAGGATGAGGTCGAGATAAGCGACTCGTGTAGAAAGTCTGTCATGACCTTGATTTCCTTGTTTTCTTGAATTCATCAAGGCAAAATCGATCACAAAGACCTTGCAAAGTTGTTTAGTTTCACTTTCACTTTCAGATATATTGATGACATGTTTGAAATCTATTGACTATGTCCATGGTATATACATTGTACCCACCAGATCTGGAAAGCGAAGACACGACAGACTCTTCGACATCAGCCGCTTGTCTCGATCTCTTCTTACAGAAAATAATCATCGTCAACTTTCCATCAAGCTGTATAAGCGTGTTGATTTCAATTTGCCTTTTTGGTAATATTCCATTTCTCGATAGCGACAGTCTCTTGCACCCAAATCTATGTTTACATGTCGCAGTTGATTCGATATGCATGGGCCTATTCCCATTGTCAACCGAAGGACAAATTCATGGCATAAAGTTTAATAGATGCAGGTTGATGAAAACTATGGGGAGTTAAACGGTTGTCATAGTGACCCCATTAGAGAACGAGATATTACTTGCTTGGACTGACCAATGTTTACATGGCGGGTGTCGTCGATGAAGCAGAAAACGCTCACTCACCAAGAACACCTGGTCTTGTTTTCCTCAAACTTGTTCAGGAATTACAGTGTAAATCTTTCTTTTGTTCAAATTTTGCCTTAATTTTATTGAAGTTTAGTTTGAATTTTGAGTTTACTGACATGTTGGTATTTTCTTGTTGTTGTTTGTTATTTTTTTTTTATTTGTTTTTGTGACATACTACGTCAAAATGTCAAAGCATAAATCAGTTCAGGGCACAGCATTTATCTAACAGTTGTTTTGAAACTATATCACATATACTAAAACCTCGCTATTTCTTTCATAGCTAGGTCCATTTAATTCCAAAGTCTGGTGGACTTGTTGTTAGGGAACAACAGAACATTTTGGAAAACAAAATTTCAGTAACAAATTATCCCAATGATACCTCGTTGTACCTGCTAACTCTTCTTAACGGGACTTTCGAGTCTGAGTTGCTGAGCCAAAACATCATCTAGTAACATAGTTTTGTAATCTTGCTTATGACAAATTGAACTGAATTCAAGAGAATAAATGGAAATGAATTTGGGATTCCAACTTCTGCCCAGAAATTCACTTACCTCTCTCATCATTGATCTTTATAGTAGGTCGAAACGGATCATTTTTAACAGATAATGTCTCTGATTTGTGTATTAATAAGATCTAAGCTAGTATCAATCTATCAAAGAACCACTGGCTGTCTGTGATCCCTGTATTAATGAGAACAATACAAGTATCGATTTGTTTATCTATGAACCACTGGTTGTCTGTGACCTCTGTATCAATGAGAACGACACACGTATCAATCTGTTTATCTATGAACTGCTGGTTGCCTGTGATCCCTGTATTAATGAGAACGACACAAGTATCGATCTGTTTATCAAGGAACTGCTGGTTGTCTGTGATCCCTGTAGTAATGAGAACTACAATATCAATGAACCACTCTCTGTCTGCCAATAATTGTAGAATATTATAATTACATGAATCTTGATAATGCTTAATGCATTCAGTATTTTTTTCCTGCCAAGTCTTCCTGTGATACTGATCATGAAATGTGTCAAGAAGTTTGTATTTATTAGAGGAACATTGAATTCACTTTGAAAAGTTTCTGAAAGCTTTTTTACAAAAACATATGAATTTATTTCATGATTGACAAAATAAATGCTGATGCGATAATATGCATGATTAGATGTGTTGAATACAGAATGTCAGTCAAACACACTGGAGCCAAATTTGTGGTACAGGACAGCTACGTGTCGTTTGAATGGATCCACAACAAAATAGGAAAAAGTCTGCTCATGAGGTTTGTCTGCAGGGTAGTACATGTGGTCATCATCCTAAAAAACCCAAAGACCTACATATGTAAATAGACATTGATGTATTTGATACTTTAATAGTAATTTGTTTGAGAACAACTCTGACAAAATTCAACAAGATCATCTTGACAGCTCTAATGTCTCTGTGTTTCATACATTCTCATTGGTATATAACAAGACATTTTTTGCATTTAAATTGAACATGATACAACATGTCCTTTTTTTCATCACACTATCAATATCTCTTCCAGAAAGATACTGAAACAAAATAGCGTAATGTGATGAATAACTAACTCACCGAGGCCGTCACTTTGAACACACTTGATATGATGTTTAGTTCTTTGGTTTCTGAATTTTTCTGAACACTGAAAGAAAAAGTCATGATTTTTTATAAATAAAACCTAATTTCGTATTTCACAATATTTCATTTCTCTTTTAAAAACAAGCCAAAATATTAGAATGTCACTTCCTTATAAAATAAGTAAACATCTGAAGGTAACACATCCTAAAGTCTGTTTGCAGTTAAATATATTAAACCAAACTTTATTTTAAAACTAACATTGACATAAATATCTGTGCAAACATTTTTTTTCCAAAGTTTTTGTATTTAAGTTTAAACTGTTTTCACCCAGAACCATAAACTATCCGACAAAAAAATCAGATATCTTTTTTTCTGTCCCCAAATTTCCCAAAAAATCCATTGGCTTTTGTGATAGATCTACATAACATAGACAACTTACTGTTAGGTAAGCATCCTTGACCTTTTAATTAACAATCTCATTCAATTCTTATCAATTTTTCATCATCATTTGTCACAAAAAAACAAATTAAATCAGTCAAATATTTAAAGTTTGTCGTTGACCACTGATCTGACAACCTTAAATGAAGGTCAGGGAATTTCTTATTTAATTTTTATCAACTTCACTTCTTACCTTTATACTCAGTGATATTTTTACCAATCAGGAGACAGAATTTTTTATGACAGGTTTAATTTGGTTTTATTATGCTGAAGGTTCTATAAACATGTCTTTATGGTGGAATTTTTACAGAAAGACATATTTCAGTAATTAGATAATTTATTAATAATTAAACATATAATGTGACATAAGTTCAGATTTCTACCTGATGAGATCCTTATACACTTGTTTCGTTAACTCTAGGTAGGGGTCAATAATGTCTTCATATTGGCAGACTTTCCCTCCCAGACAGATGTGTTTGAACAGTCGGAACAGAAACTCCTCTCGCTCGCTATCACTGTATAAACAGTAGTTGTCAGAGTCGTCTATCAGCAGTAGCTACAACAGAAAACCAAAACATAAATTATACACCACAGCATCTACAGGGCAACCTGTCTCAAATTGACCCTGACTCTTCACAAGGCAAAAGAGCAACAAATATTTTCTATGTAAATTACTTGAAAAATAAGATATTTTGGTGATTTTTTGTGGATATATATAACTCAATATCTCTATGTATACTAACTGTAAAAGTTTATAGACATACAAATTCATGGACTAAAGCAGGGCTCTCGATCTGCCAGATTTGGGGCCGAATTCCCAACGCAAAATAGTATCTTTTTTTCCCAATTTAGGCCCCAAGTTTTCCGAATTGTAAGGAAAACACCATTATTTTTCCCAATTCTAAGAGCCCCAGTCCCAGAATGGGGTGTGAGATCCCTGGACTAAAAGTAACTATAAAATCAATAAATCTCCCAGAGAAATTTATATAAACACTGACAGTGTGATTTACACTTTACAACATGTCTCTTTTTACTTATATGATCCATATGGATATACACTTGTACAATATACAATATATATATAAGAACTCTTTTTTTAGACAAAAATAGAAATACAAAGTAGAGTTTAATGTAAGTACCTTCCTGAGTTCATCTGAAATAGTGAAGTCATCATAGAACTCGTCAAAGCATTTCCTTATGGCACCATTTTCTCTTACAATGTCCTTGTCAGTGAGTCTGTCAAACAGCGTCATAGACAACACAGTACAAGGAACAGGTTCAGCTGTCACACTGGTCGCAGACACACCTGTAAAACATCAGATCAAGTATAAACTTTCTGTGTAACATAGAAAACAGGTGTAAAAGGAGAAAGAACGCCACAACAACCTCCTGGCCACTGGTAATCAGGACATTCCATCTCTATAGACACCTGCCCAACATAAACAACCGCCTGACTACAGATAATCAGGGCTCTATTAACACCTGCCGAATATAACTACCTTCAGGGCACATATAATCAGGACCTTCCAATCTCTACAGACACCAGCCTAATATATACCACATTCTGGTCATACTCAAGACTTTCAACTTCCCCAAACAAGCTTGTGTGTTGATCGGATAGAAATATCTAGTATTCAAAACATTTAGAAACAAATGGTATATACATATGGATCTGAAATTTCAATAGACTCTTTACATTTATCAATTTCATCAATTAAAAAAAAAAGAAATGAATTCACCTTTTCCAAGCTGTCAAAAGCATCATACCACACATCTATTAGACATATCAACCCATACTCAAGGGTCAACGTTTATATTTGGGGGTCAAAAAAAATCTCTCGGGGATCATATCAAGGTCTCAAAGTATAAAGCCATATTACAGCTTAAGTTTCTACTTCATCACAACACACAATCTTCAAAAAGACCATCATGTATACTGTGTGTTAATATAAAAATGATACAGCAGTATGTATTAAGAACCCCATACTCACCAACTGGTGACCAGGTGCAGCTCTCTGATACAGTCTGCAGAGATGACACCACATTTGGGTCCTTGAGAAAATCCTAAAAACAGATCACATATATTTATAATATTTAGTAGGAGTAGCCTCCCTTGGTTAAGAAATATCATTTATAAAATTGTACAATGTGAAATTTTGCAACAACTGAAAAATATAGACATTTAGGTTTAATCTTGTGTAAAACAAATTAGATGATACTTATTGTAAAGTCAGTGATGTATTTTTTGGCACATATCAACTAAATATAAGCATTCAAATTAAAAATTGTTACAATCGTACATGTATTGAGAAATTAACCCAATATGTAGTACTTATGTATGAAGAAAATTTAGCATCATTTATTAATTACTATTGTTGATCTGGAAAGAAGCAAAAAAGTGGTTTTAACATGGGAGAATAGAACACATGATCGAGAAGAGCTACAAATATTGCCAGGGGCGTAGCTTCAATAGAAAAAAAAAGCCCTCTTACACATAAAAAAATCTGTGCATAGAGTATGTCGGACAAAATTACAAAACTAAGGTTGAAAATAGATATCAGGGTTGAAGTTTGTTGTTAAATAAATAAAAAAAAACTGTCTCAGAAAACGATTCAAAACATCTTTGAAATCATGAAATTCAGATCCCTCGCCTGGGCTTACACATTTCTGCTGGACTAGCTACACCCCTGCATATTGCCATTTCAGGCGTGAATGCTAATTACTCTGAATGCAGATAAGCATACCACAGTCTGTATCACAATGGTTGACTCAAATTACACTATCATCAAAAAGACATGAATCTGGAAATTAACACGCATAATAGTGAGGTGTTTGTAACATTAAGATGGTTGTTAGAATCATAAGATTGAACCCAAAATAATGTCCAATTCAGCTCAATCAATTGAAATGAACGGAGAAAAACTTCTTTATTCTGAATATTGAAAGTATGAAAATTAGCAAAATATAAAACCTACTATGGTGTTCTTCGAAATATATTTTTTAATCTCCACAAAATTGTCTCAACCACCCTCAATTTATATATGTGTTGTAGTCTGAATTATTTTGACATGATATAAACATAATAATCTGGACGCTAACTTTTGAGAACTTAGCTAAAAATGTTGTATTTTCCTCATCTGTTATTTGGCGAGAGAAATGGGACCGGTAGTGCTGTACAAGAAACAAATTATACTCACAGCAACAAAATCATCTTTCTGATATGCTTGAAACGGTTGGTCAAATGAATACATCTGACATTTTAGTCTCCCGTGCATTGACCTGCAATTTAGAAATGGTTCAGTGATCATGTTTCTAGAATATTCTCTAGGTTTCATTAGTTGGAGAGTGTGCTAAACAGTGAAAACTTCGATTTTAAAAGAGAGAGGGCAATCAGACACACCGATAGACGTAATTTTTTAATAAAAGCTACAGAAATGATCATACATTGTAAAATAAGTATACTTTTTAAACAACCATCGTTGGAACTTATGGGCAGAACGCGTCTATGGCAACGACACCTTATTATGTACCTGTATTTGGATATTTCAAAAGTAAATACTAGAACATTACTATTTGCAATACATCTATCTTCTTCTTTACCATTTCATAAAAAGTTCTTTGTTATCTTTCCCCTCAATCGATTCAAATTTCTTTCCTTTTAGCTCCTGGAATGTAAATTTTGCCCCTTTCCCTTCCATCTTGGATCTTGGTTAAACACGTGTTTAATTTATGAGTCTCAGTAGCGTAGACGCTTTAATCATAAATGCGCGAGATCACTATTAAAAACAACAGCAAAAGACAAGTTAGAATATGTTGCGTTTTTAGTATTTGTACACACGACAAAGGAAGCAAATGACATATTTCAATATAGAAAAGCAGAGTCAACTGCTTAATACAATTTGTTTAAACTCGGCGGTGACCGAGGAGCTTGCTTATTACAGTTGCCTCCCTTTAATCGAAGTTTGGCGTATTCAGAGACTCCTGAACAAAGAAGGTCTCTGGTGTCCAGTGATCATTTCTAGGTATTTTTTGTTTACTAAATTTCACACGATCACTTACAATTTATTTCCGTTATATTCAAATAATGAAGTTGACAACAATTGAAGAAAAAACATTTCGGAGTCAATTGCAATTTTATTCCAATTATTGTAAATGTACAAGAATAACAAAATCATAATATAGGGAAAAACTTTGGATAATTGCATTGCTAGTTTAGATGATAACGCATATTTCTCTGACGACCGAAAATTAAGACTAAAATAAAATAATAAATATCAGCCAAATACAGCATGTCACCACTTATGCATACTAAAATAAAACTGTTATATAAAATATATGCTGTAAAAAGAAATCAAAACTAAAAGTCAATGATGTAGAATTTGAACAACGGTATCATATAAGTAATTAGTAATCAGCAATAATATATCCATGGTGGTCATTCGAATCTATTCACGATACCAGAAAGCAAAAGAAGTATACCTTACTGTCATGAATAAATGAGATATGCTATTTCTCTTAATGTGATTGTTTTGTATGGAACATGAACCACTTAATTCTCGGTCATCTAGACGCTTTACCCAGAACGCACACTAGTACTATACACAACAGCCTTCCTTTTTTTTTTAAATATATATATATTATATATAAAAGCTGAACAAGACTGACTAGTATTACTTTTAACAGGAAATCAAGTATTAGTAATAAACTTGTTCTCAAATAAACCTCGAGCATTTTTGTTTCTTTTCTTAGATTATATTAATGCAAGAAATAACTTAAGTCCATGAAAATAAATTTCTTTCTCTGATATACCTTATCACAGAAATTCAGAAACATTTCTTAACATATGAACCCAGTCCTTTAAAAAAACAACTCCTCATTTAACTTTCAACTTTAAACTCAAACTTTAGAACAAAAGTCTTTAAAGCGACTAGGTGTCTTTACCTCTCTTCCACAACGGTGACCAAAGGTGGTTCCTTGGGTTGTGGTGGAGGTGGTGGTAGTGCTGACACCGGTTCTGGTACCACATGTGGTTCCACTTTCTGTGAAACTAATGGCGGATCCGAAGGCATATCCAGAAGATCTAGTAACTGCACAGAGAGTTTGGGCTCAAAATTTGCACGTGTCCGTTTGTTATGACGACGGTTACGACGATAACGACGACCATTTGTAGCTTTTACGACATATGACCTCGGACTAGATTGTTTGTTTTGAATTTCACCCGGAATCCACAGATTCCCATTTTGAATTAGTATTTTTTCTCCCTCACGCTTGATTTCCTTTTTATTTGTGGAGGCTTGCTCCAACAACGGCGTAGTGGTTGGTAAGTCAGATTTTACCCTATAGGCGTGTTTCTGTAATCGAGCAGTGCACGAAATGGAGCTTTAGCCTTGCGGATCAAGTTTTTTACTGTCTGGACGGTCCGTTCCGCTTGACCATTTGACTGCGGAAAACGAGGACTGGACGTTACATGCTCAATTCCATACTCATGACTGAATCGTTTGAACTCCTCCGTTGTCCGTGAAGACACGGTCAGGTATTCCATACCGTGACATTTGACCTTTCAGATAGGAAATAGTGTTACTACTACCTAAATGGTTCAATTTGGCTGACTCTGGCCTCTTAGAATAACTGTCAATTGATACAAGGTAATAGTTTCCTTTGAACTCGAATAGATCAGCTGATATTACCGACCACGGTCTGTCCGGGAGCTCCATTTCTACGAGCGGTGCTTTCGGATTCCCTCGTGGGATTTCCGCACACACAGTACATCTCTTGGTAGTGTTCTGAATATCAGTTGCCATACCAGGCCAATGTTGGATATCACGGGCCAAGGATTTCGATTTCATGATCCCTAGATGAGATTTGTGTACAATTTTCAGCATTTCTGGACGCATAGATTTCAGTATGATCAGTTTATGGTTCTTGTACAACAAACCCTCTACACACGATATTTCGTCCCTGAAATACCAATACGGAAGAATTTCTGACAATAGCTCGGACTTAGTGTCTGGCTAGCCCTCTGTCACTACATCCTGGAGTGTTTGGAGCTCTCTGTCCTCTGATGTCTCTTCCTGTAGTCTACGATACATTTCTGGAGAAACGGGAAGGTATGACGTCAATAACGAATTGTCCGTCAGTTCGGGAACGATGTCGTCAGTACTTTCTGGTAAGTATGCTCGGCTTAGAGTGTCCGCTAAGAGCATTTCTTTTCCAGGCTTCAAATCGTACTTCAGCAGAGTCAACAACATTCTCTTGAGTCGAGGGGGAGCCAACATCAACGGTTTTCGGAATATTGACTGTAGTGGTTTGTGATCACTCTCCACGGTAACTTGGCGACCATACACAAATTGGTGAAATCTGGAACAACCAAACGCGATAATTAATACCTCTTTTTCAATATGGACATAATTTTGTTGCGCGGGAGTCATCGCCCTGGACGCGTAAGCTACTGACTGTCCATCTTGTGTAATCACTGCTCCCAGACCTTCCGAACTCGCGTCAACTGTTAGCGTAAGTTCTTTAGCTGGATCGTAGTAACGCAACACTGGCGCTTTAGAGACTAGTTGCTTGAATCGCTGGAAACTATTCTCTTGCAACTGTTCCCAGTACCATTCGGTAGTTTTCTGTAATAGCTCTCGAAGCGGAGCGCTTACTTCAGACAGATTTGCCACGAACTTACCCAAATACTGGACGAAACCTAAGAAGGTTTGCAGTTCCTTATTACATGTAGGTAATTCCATATCTTGCACAGCACGAACCTTTTCCTCGTCTGGCTGGACGCCTTTGTCAGAGAGTGCATGACCGACGTGTGTCACAAGATTCTGTCGAAACCTACACTTTTCAGGGCTAAGCCGGAGATTATAATCTCACACACGATCCATGACTTTTACGAGTCTAGCTTCATGTTTCTTAAGATCAGTGCCCCAAATGAATAGGTCATCAATAATTGACTCGCAGCCTTCGAGACCAGATATCCTTTCTGATACTGGACGTTGGTACACTTCAGGCGCACTCTTAATGCCAAAGGGCAGTCTAGTGAAACTATACCTGGCAAACGGCGAATTGAAAGTACAGAGCTTGGTACTCTCTTGGTCCAAGCGTAACTGCCAAAACCCGAATGTGGCATCAAGTTTCGAAAAAATCTTGGCATCGGTAAGTTCTGCTAGAACATCTTACAATCGTCTTCATAGGGAAGTGCTCTCGTTGAATCTCAACATTCAAGTCACGTGGATCTATGCACAAACGGACTTTTCCATTTGACTTAGCAATAGAGACCATACTGTTTACCCATGGTGTCGGTTCAGTCTGTTTAATAACGATGCCTTCCGACTCCATACAGTCTAATTCTGCCTTGACTTTCGCCTTGAGGGCTAAAGATACCTTCCTGGGGGGATGGACTACTGGCTTGACACTCTGATCAACCTTTATTTTATGCTGACCTGGTATACACCCGATACATTTAAATACCAGTCCATACTCATTCATAATGTCATCAGTATGTTCTCACACTTAGTTTCTGGTGTAGAAACAACACTGTAGATTCTCTCAACTAAACCCATTTCTTTACAGGCTTTCGCTCCAAGAATCGGCTGAACATTACCATCAACGACATGAAATACTTGGTCATACATTTGACCTTTGTGTTCACACTTTAACGTTACAACCCTTCTAGGCATAATCTTGTGTCCTGAGAAAGAAAGCAGAGGAACGCTGTTAGCGTTCATGTTTAACGACCTATTTACAGCCTTCACATTCTTGTAACTCAACGTTACACACAGCTCCAGTACCTAACTGAAAGTTTATCTCGCGACATCTACAGTCTGTGTCCATTCTGTCAGAGTGTTGACTTCACAATCTATCGACCCCACATAGAGTTCATCATCACTGGAATCTTCAGATTTCTGTAGCATGTTTACCTTTTTCTTTTTCGACCTGCATTTCTTTGCGAAGTGATCTTTAAGATGACATTTCTTTCACGTTTGACCTAGTGCTGGGCATGTCTTGTGTTTCTTGCTATACCCACATCTTGTACACTCATCATCGTCAATTGTCTTTTTTTTCTACTGTCTTCTTAAATGGTTTCTTCTTACCCGATGTGCTCTGTCTGTGATTCCCAACCATGTTAACACTTTGACTTTCTTCCAAGTCTTACTTTTCCATGTGTTTAGCTTGTGCGTGATTAATCTCATAAGTTCTTGCCACTGCCAAAGCTTTTGCCAATGTCAAATCTGAGCCAATGTTTATTAGCTTTTCCCTTATTTTAGCGTTTTTAATACCAGATACGATTCTGTAGCGCGCCATTTCATCACCGCTTGTTTAGTTACAGTCTTTGACTAACACTTGTAACTCTGTAGCAAACTGTTCAAATGTCTCTCCGTCAGCCTGTTGCTTGCTGCGAAATTTGTAGCGATTGTAAATAACATTGGACCTCGGCTTCACATTGGCTTTAAAGCGATCATAATAGGTTTTCAGGAGTTTACCTTCATCTTCTGTTAAGGTCCAAGTCGAAATAATATTTCTTCCTTTCTTCCCTATCCACAGCATGAAGTACGCACACTTCCCGGTATCCTTTTTTCCTTCTAGGGGCCCGGAAAACATGAATTCCAAATGTTGGCGGAAACTTTTCCATGCCGACACAAGATCGGATTTATCCAAATCCATATGAGGCGTGTGGCCTGCTAACACATCCATACTGCTTCGTTAGTGATCTAAATGTCTGTTTTACGGACTGCCACTGTCGGATGCACGTGGATTACGGCCAAGTTCTCAAAATTATGACACCATGTTTTGTATGGAACATGAACACCTTTATTCTCGATCATCCAGATGCTTTACACAGAACGCACAGAACAAGCATTTCACTAGTACTATACATAAAAGAGATGTGAGTTACGGATATTACGAAAGTACTGACAATGACTTTCTAATATCAACAGTGTGCACGTGTTATACGTGTTAACATTTACAAACATATACACATATAGTTAACTTAAGACCTCGAGCCATCTTAATTGATTAATTGAGACGGCTTGAGATCTTATGAATGACATCAGAGAATATTCTTTTGGTCTGTTTCAGTTCGAAGAATACCAATTTTCCTGAACACTCGGCATTCTCGATCACATCACATTTCATTATGTGTCACAATAAGACAGAAGTTATAACCAGTTTAGGTATGACTGATTACAATAAATGACCGACAGAGTTCCAATGGGGCATGTTCTATGTACACCATCTACAAACGAGACCATGTATGGTTGGCATAGCCTGATACGGATGAGCGGACAACATACGTTCTAACGTTCCAAAGACCATATACTGAAGGAAATTAGGTTAGGGAAAATAAATCTTATGTCTAAGACAGTCTTCTGGTGTTGTTTAAAACAATGAATTCCAACACTTACGACTTTAATGTTCCCTTTTGTTTCTATGTACGTTCTAATGCTGAAGGTCACACAGAAGGCAGTTAATCTAAAACTGAAGGTCACACAGAAGGCAGTTAATCTAAAACTGAAGGTCACACAGAAGGCAGTTAATCTTAAACTGAAGGTCACACAGAAGGGAGTTAATCTAAAACTGAAGGTCACACAGAAGGCAGTTTATCTAAACCTGAAGGTCACAAAGATAACAGGTTTTCTGAAGCTGAAGGTCACACAGAAGGCAGATTATCTTAAGCTGAAGGTCACACAGAAGGCAGGTTATCTAAAGCTGAATGCCACACAGAAGGCAGTTTGCCTAAAGCCGAAAGTCACACATAAGGCAGATTATCTTAAGCTGAAGGTCACACAGAAGGCAGGTTATCTAAAGCTGAATGTCACACAGAAGGCAGTTTGCCTAAAGCCGAAGGTCACACAGAAGGCAGTTTGCCTAAAGCCGAAGGTCACACAGAAGGCAGATTATCTTAAGCTGAAGGTCACAAAGAATGCAGGTTTTCTGAAGCTGAATGTCACACAGAAGGCAGATTATCTAAAGCTAAAGGTCGTTAAGACTAAATAGACGAGATGCTAACGTATTCATAACATTAACTTTTGTTTGTTTTTACAGTTGCTTGTGGAAATAAATATTCGGACATATTATGTTCATTTGATTCCTACATATCTAACAGAATTTTGCTGATACTCTATATAACTTCCGTTCCCCAGCACGGCGGTATGAGGGATTATCTTCTACCGGACTACCCGTATGGGAGATGTACCGTGAACCTGACCGATGACACGTGACATTCTACATTAAATAAAACTCGCAACCGTATACTAATTTCACACGCAAATCATTATTAAATGATCGACTTGTTCCTTAGAATGTTGTTTACATAACCACGACAAGGGAAATCTCCGGACCAGACCCGATATTCAATATCATTAGTTAGTCACGAAAACAAGATCGTTAGAGGATACTCGTAAATATTTCATCAGAACGCTATGTTATTCCCCACTCAATATGTTTTTGCTCTATATTCTATGTATTTTGCATCTTGTGCTTTTAATGAATCCTGTCATTTGGAAAAATGAGGAAATATAGAAGGTTTTTTTTTCATAATTAAGTGAATGTAAGCAGACAATACAGCACAATGTATCCGACGACATGGTAGTACATTTTAGTGGGGACTCGTGTGAATTTCTTGCCGGATCAGAAGTTTTGAAGTTATCATTTTGATGTTGATCACGTGTCCCTGTGTGTACGGAAGTTAAATGTAACAAGGAGCTTGGTTGTTCATATTCTTTGTTAATACATTTTTGATAAATTTATAGGAAAACAAGTTACCATGGATATAATCAGTTAGGGCCAGTCATTTGACCACAATCGTTTGTACAGGATATAGAACACTGACCTATATGTGTACTTGCAATATAGACAGAAATCCATAGTAACAATGGACACAGCAGATCAGTTCTAGTCACTTAATTAAAATATCGCCTGACAGAGAAAACCACTACCTACAGAAATCTTCTTTAATTATAACTTGTGGGTAGGAGATAGTAGGTGGGTTGGACATCTACAGAAGTCATCCCTGATTATAACTTGTAGGCAGGAGATAGTAGGTGGGCTGGACATCTACAGAAGTCGTCTCGGATTATAACATGTAGGTAGGAGACAGTAGGTGGGCTGGACATCTACAGAAGACATCCCTGATTATAACTTGTAGGTAGGAGACAGTAGATGTGTTGGACATCTACAGAAGCCATCCCGGATTATAACTTGTAGGCAGGAGATAGTAGGTGGGCTGGACATCTACAGAAATCGTCCCTGATTACAACATGTAGGTAGGAGACAGTAGGTGGACTGGAGATCTACTGAAGTCATCCCTGATTACAACTTGTAGGTAGGAGATAGTAGGTTGGCTGGACATCTACGGAAGTCATCACTGATTATAACTTGTAGGTAGGAGATGGTAGGTGTGTTGGACATCTACAGAAGTCATCCATGATTATAACTTGTAGGTAGGAGACAGTAGGTGGGCTGTACATGTACAGAAGACATCCCGGATTATAATTTGTAGGCAGGAGATAGTAGGTATGCTCTTTAATCTGTAAGGCGATTTACAATGATTTTTGGACGATATCATTATTAGCAAACCGTCATACAATAGTTTTGTAGTGTGGCCGTCCATCCACGATCAATGTATTGGATTGGATTGAGTAGGCGACAGCTTTGATGGTAAAACAGATTATGTATAAAATCACCGGCTGAAATATCAATAAGTACTTATTCTATATAAATTAAGAACGAAAGTTGATTGGTTATCGGACCAGGCAGAGTCTTAGTTTGTGATATTCACTCATCAGCTAAGTGATACTATATACAATTATAGATTACTTATATTGTAATCATTCAATGTAAACAAGATAGAATGCCTCTGGCTTCGATAAATAAATAATCAATTAATGTACATATTAGTCATGCATATTAATACAGATTGGGCCATACTGTAGGGAATCATGTTTGATTACATTCTAACGGTTTCTACAGTGTAGTGAACGAGACCGCAGGCACAGCATGGACGTAAATTCGTACTTGGTGATATTTTGTGTTGGTATAGGATTTGGAGGGTATGTATTGGTATCATCATCAGATTCTCAAGATATGGAATATAAGGTGAACATAGGTGAGTTTTATCTACGAATTTTATTTAATTCATGTTGGTATTCTGATAGACATTTATGTTTGATAAAACAAAATCTAGGATTATCTTTGTCAGAGAGGAAAGATGTGACAGTGAAGTCCTAGGCTGAATTAGTATCGTGTTTTTATCAAAACAATATGATCATGTAAGACTGCCCTATCGTGTTTTTATTATAACAATATTATATTGAAGACTGCCCTATCGTGTTTTTTTATTATAACAGTATGACGATGTAAGACTGTCCATCGTGTTTTTATTATAACAATATAATCATGTAAGACTGTCCTATCGTGTATTTCATTATAACAATATAATTATGTAAGACTGCCCTATCGTGTATTTCATTATAACAATATAATCATGTAAGACTGCCCTATCGTGTTTTTTATTATAACAATATGTTCATGTAAGACTGTCCATCGTGTTTTCATTATAACAATATAATCATGTAAGACTGCCCTATCGTGTTTTTTTTATTATAACAGTATGACGATGTAAGACTGTCCATCGTGTTTTTATTATAACAATATAATCATGTAAGACTGCCCTATCGTGTTTTCATTATAACAATATGTTCATGTAAGACTGCCCTATCGTGTATTTCATTATAACAGTATGATCATGTAAGACTGCCCTATCGTGTTTTTTTATTATAACAATATGTTCATGTAAGACTGCCCTATGGTGTTTTTATTATAACAGTATGATCATGTAAGACTGCCCTATCGTGTTTTTTTATTATAACAATATGTTCATGTAAGACTGCCCTATGGTGTTTTTATTATAACAGTATGATCATGTTCATTGTTTTTTTATATAACAATATGTTCATGTAAGACTGCCCTATCGTGTTTTTATTATAATAATATAATCATGTAAGACTGCCCTATCGTGTTTTTTTATTATAACAGTATGATCATGTAAACTGCCCTATGGTGTTTTTATTATAACAGTATGATCATGTAAGACTGCCCTATCGTGTTTTTTTTTATTATAACAATATGTTCATGTAAGACTGCCCTATCGTGTTTTTATTATAATAATATAATCATTTAAGACTGCCCTATCGTGTTTTTTTATGATAACAAGATGATCATGTAAGACTGCCCTATCGTGTTTTTATAACAATATAATCATGTATGATCATTATAACAGTATAAGACTGCCCTATCGTGTTTTTTTATTATAACAATATGTTCATGTAAGACTGCCCTATCGTGTATTTCATTATAACAATATAATCATGTAAGACTGCCCTATGGTGTTTTTATTATAACAGTATGATCAGGTAAGACTGCCCTATCGTGTTTTTTTATTATAACAATATGTTCATGTAAGACTGCCCTATCGTGTTTTTATTATAATAATATAATCATCTAAGACTGCCCTATCGTGTTTTTATTATAACAATATGTTCATGTAAGACTGCACTACCGTGTATTTCATTATAACAATATAATCATGATAGAAGTTTTCTTTCACCTCAATTGTTTTGTATTGGTTTCTACATGTGTTTGATTTGTTCGGTGTGTCGGATGATAAGTTCTGAACAGCTGATAGGCATCTGAGCAAGAAAAGTAAGATTCCTTACCGAAATTTTAATTATCTTAATTTAGTTTGATTTTTTCTCTCGCCATCCCTATCAATGACATATAATTTCTTCATTAGTTCGGTCATTATACAAGTGTAGTGTATTTTTTCATATACACGAAGGTGTGATAACGGATTGTTCTAACACGTCACGTGGAAATGGATGTGATGAACGAGCGGAAACTATACATGTTAACAACACGACATTCACCTTCAACTTACTTAGGATCCATATCGCCACGTCGGAGATATATGACGTCACTCAAGCAAGTACGTACGAGTGTCGTTTCCTATGTTTTTATGTTGTGACAGGATGATGTAACGCTGGAAAAGTTGACACTTTTTTTATCACTGACCTATACTGTTATATCAATTTTTATTTAATGGATGATTTTAAAGATTAATCATAGAGTAAACCTATTCAGTTTAAAGCCTATTATGAAAAGCTTCCGAAAATTATTAAGATATTCCGGAATTATTTCATGTTTTCTATAAGACAGATATAGCTTTATAACAATTGGAGACAGTGAAGTGCACTCTGCCATTATGGTAACCAATGTTCAAATTAAGTACGTGTGACACCAATGGACGTCCGGTACATCTTTCTATGTTCTGTTTTCATGATTTAGTTTTTAAAAGTGACATAATGATTCGTGGATTCAATGAATCTGAATCCCCCACGAATTGCCAATAGATCACTAATATGCCTTGTAGCTAAGATATTGTACATGTTTCCGATCAGATGATCCTAAAAGGCGATTACATCTAAAATCTTTATATATCTCCTCTTTCCTATACAGAGTTTTCTCACTTATTTCTCTTCTAACACAACATTTGATATTTCGACTTGGTGTTGCAGGTTCGGAACATCATTCAACTATAAATATCAACTCCTAGCAACCATTCATGATGTATGGTTAGCTCTAGAACAGGTTCATTAAAGTTCTGTGAATTTTTTACAGCTTATAGTCGCATTTGGCATATAGGGCTCATTATAAAATTTAGATCATAATGAGTATCTAGAGTTATTGGATTGGCCTACACTATTTTTATTGGATCGGCAACAGCAAGCATTTATTTCAAATTGGGTTTCCATAGGAAGTTAGCTCAATCTTTATTTTATTTATTTATTTTTGTAAACGAGATTGTTATATGAGATATGTTAATGAGATATCTGACGTTCTGTTTCTTGCCACGAAGCGTTATGCAGACGACATTTTTCTCTTACGCACATCTTCTTCATGTAATGCTATACAATTTGCCCGATACCCAGATCTTGAGTCCTTAAGTACATGTAAAATTGAAAAAAAAAAAAGAAAAAGAAAATGGTTAGATGATTTAATGCAAGACTAACGGTTGATTCATTTCTAAAATCACAGATCATGTATCATTATATATATTATAAAGAGAAAAAAGTCATAAGTATTCATGAACACTGTGAACTATATTTTAAGGAAGAAATATTGAATTTTGTTGATAGTCACAGACATGTAGGATTAGTTAGCATGGCGAAGGGTAAATGAGGAGATTATATATTGTCTATACATACATCTGTCATGAAGAATATTAATGCACTCGAGAGCCTTAACTATATGCATAAAAGAGAAACGTTGTTAAATATAGGTATTTTTTCATTTTTATATATATATATTATTACTGTTATGAATAACTAACGAAAGCGAGATGTTCGAAAAATGTAATGGTGTGGCATTTCATATCATTACCGTGTCACCAGCTATTATCTTTATTTGGAAACAGGACTAGAATAGCTGTCAGAAAATGGTAGAAAAACACACTTCCTAAAACGAATTCCTATCCAATACACAGTAAATTGAAAATATACTCATTTCCTGTAAATCGGATCAGTTCAAAGGTTATTTGATAAATTTTATCGAAAACGTTTTCAACGTATTGAAAAATCATAAGAGTTTGACAGTGAATGGTTCATATGAATGTTATCAACGATAACAAGGAGATTTGGACAGCAATATATACAATGTATGACTTATTTCGAAGAAAAAAAAAACGACGTACCTGACATGGAAGCATATAAATTTATCTTTTATCATTATCACATGCTATTAAAAACCAAAAATAGACACTGAACCAAACTATACTTTTCTTTTACTAAGAGTAATGATGAGACCATTGGTAGTTTAACTAAGGACATGTTGGTTGGTCTAGATTGACGAGCAGCGCAGATATCGTTCAATTACCAATAACGGAGTAATGAGAACCTTATAATTGCATATCAACTCATCATTAAATGGATATATCGGAGACGGCATAGTGTATTATAACGAAGGTTTCCTACGAATGCTTAAACTATTAAACTTAATTGCGGCTCGTGGTTCGATTAACCATCATCATAGCTTCCCATATCCCATTAAATTCTATTAAAACAAACAAGACGCAATATAGGAAAATCGTCCGTCCAATTAATTGGAACAGTAGTTAAGTATGGTAAATAAATATTTCGGTAAGTTACAACGATCAATTCGTACTCGAAATAAATAACAGTAAACATGTAAAAAAGGGTATCAATATATGATATACATGTATTATGATATTAACCACAGAGCTGTGTTGAAAAACTTGTGCCCAATTCTGTTGCTATAAAACACAACTAGTTGGTTTAAATAAGTCAAGTTCTTCCATTGCTCTAAATGCACTTTAATATGATAAATAGATAAATACTTGTAAACAAATATAATGAATAAGATATAAATATAACATGTGTAATCGATGAAAGCAAATTGGAGTCATTTTACGACGGATACCTAGTCACAGGTCAACAGACGATATTTTTTCGAATGATTCTGTGTTGGAATGTGCCCTTTTAATTACGTAGAATATCTCCAAATCTTGTCATATCCTGTAAGCTCAGGAAATGACAGCAATAATCCAATCACGTCTTAACTGAAGAGGTTATGTATAAAGTAGAGCAATTCTCAGAAGTAACAAAGAGGCGTCAATCTTGTTTTACGTTAAGCATGTGTAATTGAGGAAACGGTTTAATCAGAAATTACCAGCAAAGCAGTATGATGTTGGTTCACAGTGATATCTTTTAGGAATATCATTTTGATTCTAAAAACATCCAATCAAAATATAAATAAAGACCAACCTTCATCTGACAAAGATCTCGTTTATTGAATAATCATTGTCAACCATTCATTGAATAATGATCTGCAGTGTTGATATTGTGTGTAAATTGCTATTAATAATTAAAGACCTGTAGTCTCTGTTGGTTCTCTGTAAATTATCCTGTTTTATTGATCTTTTTGAACTGAAGTCAATATTGATAAACGAAAGCATTAACGGTATCATTCGCAATCACTGTTATATGAACTTTTTTAAGGCAGTGATTTTCGTATCAAGTTGTAATGTTGATATTTCTCAGCTAGCTATAGCTGATATAATGAACAAGAGTCTGTTAATGGAAGGTCAGAGCAACAAACGTCATATCAATTTTAATTTAAACTACTTTTCGACAAAACAAAGGGAAATCATGACGTTAGAGCTCCTGTGGTATATTAAAATAAAAAACGACCTCATCGTATTTAATACAAAGGTAAACAAGTCTCACAGAAAAGGGGTAAAATGGAAACTATATTGAATACTAAACATTATCCATCCAATAATACGCTAGACAACCTGGTATTTCCTAACGCATATTTTATACGTTTATATTATAGTTAAGCGATCCCGTGAAAACGTTGACTTCTACCTGGTATTAAGTATTCCACCACCGATGTCGCCAACTTTAGGTATCCTACAACGACTAGGCATCCCGTATATGCGGATGTGTGTCCTACTGACGTCAGATAACCGACAAACCATCTGCCTACCGAAACATGGAGAGAATCTTTATTTGCAAAAGAATACCTTATATCTCAAGAATGCAACAGAAACCAGCGATCTAACACCGAGAGGTTGTCACGACAAAACGTGCGACACCGGTCCAAACCAACCGACCGATGACGTGGCACATAACTTACACGGAAGTGACGTTTATTCAGCCGACAATTACTTGTCACGCATTGTGACGTCATTAGTGTCAGCAGAAAAATGGGAACATGTCCTCATATTTTATGAAGCTGTCTTTGGTTGGTGTATTGAAATCTTACAAGTGAAATAAACAAAATTCTTATTCTTATTTATTTATTTAGAAGCACTTAATCGTTATGAACATGATAATGTTGACTACTTCAATTTTTTTTCTTCTAAATTGACGTGTACGTCAAATTATTATCGTCCAGTCTTCTGATTCTGCAGAATAGATTCCCATTTCTTATTTCATTTTTTTTCCTGATTTCAAATCTGGTATCACATTAAAGGCAAATACTCATTCTTTGCTCTTATTTCGTGCATTGTGCTCTTCAGGAAACGACATGGGATCCTTATTTGACGCCTTTTCAAAGATCGGTCTAATCGCAAGGAGTACTCATGTGATTGACAGGCTATCAGAAGATGAATTCATTCGCATATTTGACAAATCTTCTGAAGTCGGGAAACAAGAACCTTTCCAAATTGCCGTGCTGTGCAAAAACATGTGTTCAAAACTTTTGAAAGCGGTGAGATAAATGCATATGCTTTAAATACTATCTTGTTAAACAAATGTATTATTAAGATTTTTGTACCCCATATGTTAATAGCACCTTGTAGTACATATTTAGTATAAGATACAATAGAGCAAACTTACACATCAAAATGCATGATGCATCTATGATGTCCTTCTAGGACTCAACAGTGATGCTAAGGGATTACATTTTGAATCAAAGGGACTTCTGGGGAAAATGAAGTGATCGAAGAAAATATCAGAATATAGAGATGCATTAGGTCCATAATGACGACCATCAAGTACATTTGTATGTTCTTAACTGTGTCACTATTGGCATAAATTTAAACTTGGTCAACAGGTTACGACCAACCTCGGAAACTCACAGTCCAACAGGGGTGTCTGAAATCTAAAGCTTTTGCAAAAGATACAAATGATACAGTCAAGCCAAATAAAGAATCAAATTGCTTCATACAATCATATCCCATCAAATGATGAAATTTTCTTGATTCCAATCACAAATAATAATCAGAAATGCAAATTAATATTGAATTACCGACGAGCTGAATTAGAAGGTGATCAAGCATTGATAAGCGTTTCTGCAATAATCTGGCCGGAAAAGATTGTTTACAACGTTATAACTATTGAATGTTAATTGGACTTACTTAGTGAATTCCTGATTTTGAAGACAGTGGAACATTGAAAGATACCTTGTGTGTTAAATGCATTTCAGTATCATTATCTATATGGTAACGGTTAAACACATGCCAGTCATACATGGGAATGTTTGAAATGGAGCGATGTCGTGACCGGAGAAACTAGTCAGTCACATCCGATCAAATGATAAAATTTGTTTGATTCCAACCACAAATGATAATCAGAAAGGCTGAATTACCGACGAGCTGAATAAGAAGCGAACAAAGACAGTAAATTACGGTAGTAAAACAAAATCTTAGGCTTAAGAAACGACTTGATACATTGCAATAATATTCACGAAATCCGACTTAGGAAACGACTTGATACATTGCAATAATATTCACGAAATCCGACTTAGGAAACGACTTGATACATTGCAATAATATTCACGAAATCTGACTTAGGAAACGACTTGATACATTGCAATAATATTCACGAAATCTGACTTAGGAAACGACTTGATACATTGCAATAATATTCACGAAATCCGACATAGGAAACGACTTGATACATTGCAATAATATTCACGAAATCCGACTTACGAAACGACTTGATACATTGCAATGATGTTTACAATATTGATGAAGTCTAACTTAGGAAACGAATTTATACATTGCAATGATGTTGATGAAGTCTGACTGAATGACATCTAATTAGTGTCATTTTTTTTTTATAAATTCCCAGATTACAGTTTACGATCTTCAGAAGAAGGGAACAAAAGCGGTATACTATTTTACCGAGATATTAGTAGTATCCATGGCCTCATCAGATACATTTTACCAGGAACTAAACGTTTCTACGTTTAATAACATAGCCGTTGTCACACTACCTTTGTGGGTGTCAAGTAAAAATGAGCACAACATAGACTGTACTGAAGTAAGTTTATATCAAATGAGTCTTCGTGTGTTTGAAAAAGAATAACGATTGTCAAGTTAGAATAAATATAATATATGCTTTCATATAGTAAAAGTTGATCAGGTCTACGTGTGCAGGATATATGTAATTTTATTTATTTTTTAATAATTACTTTTACATTTGGTCCACACGAATATGTATTCATGACAAAAATATCGTAACAGTAAGACTGGTCATATATTACTGAATTCCGGTTATATTTTACTAGGGACATTCTTCAATAATGCAGTACCTACACACAGCATTAGAAGCAACGACGCTTGGGAACTCTAATGAAATGACTACTGTTCCAAACATTCTCCTGGACCAGATGGAAATGGTAGGTTTATTAGGTTAAACATCCGCTGAGATAATAATAGTGTTAAATATGTTATGTTAGGAAGGTAATTAAAGGATAAGAGTTGATTATTGATCTCAGTTATATCCCTGAAATCGTCAGCTAGAGGAAATCCGACCGATTGTCGGAGATAACCATGTGTGTGGAACAAGCCCGGCGGTCACCTGGGATTATAATTAGCAGTATAGCGGTTAGACTATTAACGGTTAACCACTTAGTAGATAATTGGTTTGTGAACTAACCTGAGTAAGTCAGGCAGATGAAATCTTTTAATGTAAATCACTGTTCAATATCAAAATTCTTGAACATGATCACTATTCACTGTAACTTAATGTCTTTTTCTGGCAATGCTCCGTACCTTGAAACGTTCACAAGAACAAGATGCTGTCGAGATTTATTCAGTTTTATTAAGAACCTGATCGGAAAATGACATAATATGCACAGTATTCAAGGCATTATTTATATATTCAGTGGTAAAATTGGTCGATTTAGTTTTTGGCAGCACTAAAATTTTCGGCTATATTTTTTAACATTATGCATGTACTTTCACTAAATTAAACAAGGGTTTTAAACATTTGTAAAGTAGGTTGTATCTGGTTTAAACTGTCATCATTCTGTTTTCATTTGATCTTCAGTGATTTTAAATCCAGTTTCAATTTTGTTCCGTTATATGACAAGCTATTAATTATGATTGACTTCCATTTCTTAAACATCAATGCAAAGATTTTTCAAAATGTGATACCTATATAACCACATATGCTAATAACTCCATATCTTATACACGATAACTAATACATCATCTAATTTTGAAAGTACCAAGTGTCTCTGGCGTCGCTGTGGTTCCCGGTGGAGACTTTGATATGGGACAGAGATGGTAGGAGCTTACGCCGTGTTGGGCTGATTCACCTCACTGGAGAACGCAAATTATCTGGGTCATTATTTCCCAACAAGGATTTCGGATTTAATGGCCGCCAGCTACTGGTGTCATCACTAGCGGTAATTCTTTACAACTTAAACTTTTTGTAAGCAAAACGAGTAAGCTGTAGGCGATAATTGAAAATAAAACTTTTCCTAAAATGTTACCTGGGTTACGTATATCTTAATTATTATATACATGTCTATTGCTTATGAAAGAAAACATGTTTATTATATGATTTCTTTCACATTATAGTTTTACCCGTTTGTCGAAAACGTCGGAAACGACTCCTATGACGGTTTGTGTTTCGATATTCTACGACAGTTAGCTGTGGACATGAACTTCACGTGAGTTTAGAGCGCCCGGAAATACGTCATTGATAGATTAGAGAAAAGTTATATGTAGAGATGATTCATTTCCTTCAAGCTGTGATTATTTCTAGATAGCAGTAATGCCTACTTCCACAACCTATTGATTACTTTTTCATGATTAACTTTTCCAAACATAAATTGGTTTAAATCATAAGAGGCGATGTAGTCCAATGTGGCTTATGGAATATGAGAAACAACAGCATGTGAAATCAAATACGTAGTGCAAGATATAAACAAAAGGAAGATTTACACGGAGAATCATAAAAAAGTACAATGATGATAAGACCGGGTGTTTCGGTAAAGAAAGCATGTTCTTCGACAATCCCAATATAAATCATGGTCAATCCAAGTAAGTAATGCCACACTTTCAAATGAGGAAAGTATACAACAATGGAACTATCCAGAAATGAAAAAAATCACGATATTGTTATCATGCTCACCATTCATCTTGGTGGAAACTGTCCAAATTGGTGAAAAAGAACACAATGACAAAAGCAAAAACAAAAATGACATCAACACAAAGCAAAACAAAACGAAAGGAAAAAAAACCAAGCAAAAAATGGTAACTAATGTTGTGCTGTTGGTTTACGACTTTAAAAGTAAAAACGATTATCAGATAGGTACATGTAAATATTCTCAGAATGGTATGAAAGTGTCTTCCAATGAACATGTTTTCTAAACTTTCGAACAGATGATAGAGAAAATGCTTTTTAGGGAACGGGAAAATGAAATGAGTAATGTGGCAGAACATAAAGTGATAAAATATTTAGTACGTTTATGGTATTAACTGGTTGGTGACTTCAGTGGTCAACATCTTAATTGCATAGTTTCCTGTATTGTTTTAATAATTTAATGCTGAACTTTTATATTCACCGGCGTTACAAGAAGTCATGCAGCACGGAGGCAACATTTTTCATCAAGGATATCACACCTTTTATCCTTTAACACTTTATAATCATGATCTCACGATAATAACACATGATATTAGTATTTTATTCCAAATAACTAACCCAAATAACTAACCTTATATTATCCATAATAAAGGACACCAGGTACCATTCTCATGCCGACCTGCCTTGGACATAATGGCCTTTAAATGGCTCACATAGTTTGAACAACGTTTTTCTGATATTTTTGAGTTGTTGAGAAAACGTAAAATTACATTAAAAATCATATACGTTGTAAAAAGAAAGACTCGCTGGTTTAAATTTCGTGATTGGACTTAAATGAGTTTACAAAAAAAAACAAAAAAAAAAAAAAAAAAAAACAAGCAGCGGATTTCTCTGTCTTATGTCCAAGGTATCTATGTATATTTTCACTGTTTTATTCTATCTTGGAATTGCATGAAATGTTCTATGGTATCTTACCAACGATGATTTCTTAAATGTGTAAAATGTATACAACTAGAGCTTGGGTTTCACAGTTATAGACTGACTACATCACCCGATCTTGAGTGGGGAGTGACAGACGATCAAGGTCATTGGTCAGGACTTATTGGACAACTGCAACGGAACGTAAGCATGACTATTGGTTGGAATGTCGCAGTACATAACTTCATTTTAATGAGTACTTGAAAGTGTGAAAATATCAGGCGATTCCTCGCAAAAGAAAAAATACAAAAATACAAAAATACAAAAAAAAAAAAAACAAAAAAAAAACAAAAAAACAAAAAAACCCCGTACGTAATATCTTAATAAATCGCAATCAATAGTGAATTCAATTTATGTTCTGATATGTTCTGTACATATCAGAGAGACAAGATAGGAAAATAACCGATATGTTATC